TTTTTGCCAGATGATTTTCAAGAAATTTCACATATTTATCAAAGACCTTCAGGTGATGTTTTAATGATTGTTAAAAATTTATATTATTTAATTGATTTTCCAAGTTTTAATGTTAAAAGTGGATATTGAAAATTTAGGAATACCAAAAGGAAAAAGAATTGATGCAATATTTAGAACGTATTCTGGAAAAACATATATATTTTATGACAAAGTCTTGTACATTGAGTTTGATGAGTGTTTGTTTAGATCAAAGAAAAATGGCCTTATTTCAGAATTATTTGCTGGAATACCTCCAAATATAACCAGAGCATTCAGATATAGAAATTTATATTACTTTAAAGATAAAATGCATTATGAATTTGATGATATTTCGAATACGTTAGTTAAGTCTGATAAATTTGACTTGACAGTTTTCGGATTTAAATGTGGACTTATCGATCAAATAATAAAACTAATTAATCGTCTGTGATTCACCTAAGCTGTACTATACATTTTCATACAGTAGGTATTTATGAAAACTCTTACTCAAGTGACTCAGATGATAACTCTAATTTAACTGTTGAAGAAAAATTTTATTCTGGCTCATATAATACTTTAAATATTCATTGTCCCAATACATGGTAGAAGGAGACATGGTATAGGCATCCGATGTACCAATTTAAAAATCGTCTGCGCGTCCATTTGTGACGTTAGGTGGCATCAACGACCTTGTGACTCTTGTGAGCTTCGCTAGGGAAGTCTAGGGAATTTCAGCTTCAATACGTCAATTAGTTGTCGACTAATGAAAGTTAATGAAATGAATAATGATAAAAATGTAATTATTGAAAGTTGAACGGTCCAAAAATGTGGTTTCATATCAATTTCGATAAATGTGGGACATCAGCAAATGCAAATACGAATTTGTGATATCCCTTGAGTGTTGAAAGGAGGTTTTTGACATATTTATGCTCAGTTCTCTCCACAAACCTAAATTCTGCGATCACATCACACATACGACTGCAGCAACTGAATAATCACAAATAAAATTTTGCAATTTAAAGAATTTATTTTAAATTGCGCGCTAATTTCACCCCACCTGACGTCACACCCGATGCGTATGCCTATACCATGTCTCCTTCTACCATGGTCCCAATATACCTACTTAGGTACAGGGTCATTATAAATGTTTCTTCATCACGTAATTTTATTAAATAATTGGTTTACCATCGTTTCTTAATTAATTCATTTCTCACAAATATTTCATTTAAAAACCAAAAGATTATTTGAATAATAAACAATGCGCCCCTCTTTCTATCCTCTCTACTCCACGCCTATGCTCCTGCGCGCAAGTGCAGTCACAGAACTGCCGCAGAAGAACGGCGCAATTGACCAGTAAAGTGAATGACGCGCGAAATTTGAACTCAGTTCATAACACGAGACCCGTATTTCAGTTCCCCGTGTAATCCTTATGGGTGAAATCGAGGCGTCACTTTAACGCTTAAATTGTACCATTAAAGTAATTTTCTTATATATCCCACTACCTGTACCATTAAGACTGATATTTTTTACTGTTGATCTTGATACCAAACATGAACGGAACCGGTAGTATTTAATAAATATTTAAATTCAACTTTTACCACTACATTTGCCTCGAACGTATGTCGTACAGTGGTTCATACTGCCATTGACTTCCCTCTCCACATAAATGGCTTTGATTTTCAGATGCTACAGATACGGCTGTGAATTTAAAATAATACATAAAGGAGATCTCATATGTGCAAATGTTTTCAATCAATTGCCAAATTTTGATTTAAGAATCATCATCAATGCCAAGCTTTTTTCTTTTCACACATTTTTGCTAGAAAAGGAAAAACTTAGCATTCCTGATTAAACCTTTCATGTACAAGTAAAAATCACTTTCATTTTAGTACGAATTGGGTCTGAAACACCCATTTAAAAAAAAACACAATTTATTAAAGAACAATTTATTTCAAAACAAAAAAAAAGTATTTTACAATAAAAAATTGCACTTCCTAATGCAAAATCTGATTCACTTTTGGTGAAAAACTGATCCACAAACTGTTTTCTTGATGGGCCATTTAAATAGTCCTCGGACACTAATAGTTCTTTGACACTGTGAAGTAGATTTTCTTCAGATCTTTCTAGTTCTGGGCCCAATAGCAAAAGCAGTGCTTCGCTCCTATCAGTTTGTCGTAAGCTTTCATGAAGTTGTACCTCAACATTAGCTGTTTTTAGGCTGACTTGGGGATTAAAAGAATTTTCAGAGACAACAGCTCTGACCTCAGCTGATTCACTTTTCTTCAGATGTACGTCCCAAGCACGCAAATTATTGGTCCAAAATAACTACATTATAACGTCCGTGTAGGGCAGGTGTAGTCATATGGTGACATACAAATGCACCTCTTGGGGTTTCACATGTTGCCTCTCTTAAGGAATATCTAAGCATAATAAAACAAAATACGTCATAATTTTACTTGACACAGAATTTATCAATATACATTAACTTATTACCATAATCTTCTCGCATTCTAGCTCGAATAAACTCTTCAAGCACATTTAATTCAGTATACCAATTGACTTTCACTACATTATTTGACTGTAAAGAATTTTCTCCAAAAAAAAAAATGGCAGTTGCCCCTATTGTTAACACATGTCTTTCTGTCATTATTAATAACAAATACAAAAAAAACAGTCCACAAATACATAGGTACAACCTAATGTGAATCAATATCACAGAACTAATATATCATCCAAAAATTGTGATTATGATTGTTTGTTGCAGCGTTGCCACGCCGTTTTGCTTGCTATCGGTAGATTCCTTCGATAATTTTCGGTAAATTTCGGTATTTTTTCGGTAGATCGGTTTTTTGTGATAGAAAAGGTATTACACATAAATAATACAATTTTTTTTGTCATATATGAAGAAGGTAGAAATATTTTGTTATTAAAAAGAAACAAATAAAAAACAAATATATTAACATAGATCATTTAAAAAAATATATAAGTAAACATGCTAAAGGTATTGTAGTAGGAACATTTTGTTAAAAATAAAAACACAATAAAACTATAATATTCCCCTTATTTATAGCCTCAGATGCTGAACTGTTTCGGGGATATACCAAATTTTGTCTAAGTAATTAAAAAAAAAATCCCCTTTTAATTATTACGCGTTTAAAAAGAACAGATATTTGGCGCTATCTGTAAAAATGTATAGTGGTTACGCGCGTAATAGAGGAAACTAAACAAATCCGCAGAACTAAATTTATACTGAAAAAAATTTTAAGAAATAAAATTATATAAAAAAAATTATTGAAAATTTATAAATACATTAAAAATAAAAATTTCTTGAATTATCGTAGACTTTTCGGTAGATTTAGTGTTTCAATCGGTAGATCGGTAGACAGAGCCCAAAATCGATCTAAACGTCACTAGTACCGCAAAATACTCGCGTTCTTTTTCTTTCCCAAGTGTTTCTGGATTTTCCATTTTACTCATGCGCAAGACGTTAGAAACGATGTACGTTACTTCGATGAATAGCGTAGTTTTTAATTTGCAATATATCTTTAACAGAAGCTTTTTATATAGTTAAACCTTTAGTAACAGGAAGATAATTGTACAGTCTTTATCGCTTGTAGCATAAACTAGTTAAGATTTCTACCTATGCGGCGTATTTTGTCTGTAAAATCAAGCTCCCATAAGGAACCCATAGTAGAATTTTTGAATTATGAACTGCCGCGCATTCTAAATTCTAACCTTACTTTACTGGTCAATTCCAGTTAGGTAAATGCGATCGAATCTTGGTGTCTTGTGTCCGCCATTTTAAGCAGTAAGAGATGTCTTCTCAATTATTACAAATAGAAGCAAATTATCCAGATCTTAATAATAGTAAGTTTTAATACATGTGTCTGCCTGTTAATGTATAAATATTTTAGAGGAATTGCCTTACTACATGGGATGTGTGTTTGAAATCCAGCGAGACCAGGCCAAGGCTTGTTTTTTGCGCACGTGCTTTGCAGAGGTCACGATAGAAAATGTCGTTGGGTTCAAAAGAAATCTCCATCCCTCTTGCGTTTGGCGAGTTTTTTACAAAAGAAAGAAGCGAACACCTGATTATTTTGAAAAAGGTAGCCAAAGCAAGACACCCATCGATCCATTACCAGAAAGTGATGAACAATTGAAACAACTGTTTGATGATATAACCAAAGTCAGTGCTTCTGTTGGAGTGAAGGTACTGCAAAAGCAGTACACTGACAATAGAGAGTTCGCAGTAGTGGACTATAGTCCGATATTCTGCTCTTGTCCAGTACCGGATTTTAAATTGGCCACAGAGCCACCTGGTATGTGGTCGATTTCAGAGGTGACAATGGAATTATGCAGCATGAAATTATAAATTAAGTAAATTAAAATTTTTGGTTGTTAATTTTATAGGAATGTGATTTATATTAATAAAGTAAAAGTATTATATATGTGATTTTTTTTTTGTTCACTTGGAAAAATTTATGTCCATAAATTTAAAGGAGAATATTATCTACAATTCAATTTAAAATAATCAAGTTTTTTAACTTATTCTTGATAAAGAATTTGAGTTGTTAAAAATTATCTCATGAAGAACAAACGATAGCAGTCTAATATGTGTAATGTTCTATCTAACTCAGATTATTATGCGAAGTTTTGTTAGTCATTTTCTATGCATTTTTTTTTTTTTCAACAAAAACCACAGATTCAGTTGTTACGTCTGACTCACATTTTTAAGAAATCGTAAAAACAGGGTAGTTTTCTTTATTTTTAGCATAAAAATCTGGGTCACATTTTTAAAAAGACTAAAAAATGGGGTAGTTTCCATAAAAAATTGATGTTTCAGTAGATAAAATGAGCTTAAAAACAAGTCATTTTCTCTATTTTTCGTGTTTTTGAACCGACTTCAATGGGCTGTTTTTCCAAACTCAACAAACTTCAACGACAAAACTTGAAAATCGACTCATTTTCCTAAAAAAATTTCTATGGTTTACCAGAGCTTCAATTTTTCCAAAGATTTCGACTAACAAAACCAACAGTTTTACATTTATTAACGTTAATTGAAGAACGCTTGGAATTTCCTACAGACAGGTAAAAGTGGTTAAAAAATTTAATGTGTAAATATATTATGATTTGATCATTACAGAAATCAGGCGGTGTCACCTATAAATCAGCTGCTTACTACATTACGATTCTTTGCAAGCGGGGGCCATTTGAGTACAGTAGCGGACTATATGGGAATGCACATCTCAACTGTGTCGAGAATAATTAGACGTGTATCGGACGCTATAGCAAGGCTTTACCACCATTTTATTAAGATGCCCCAAACTCTCATGGAGCAAAGGCTTATTCAAAATGGTTTTTTTGACATCGCGAGATTCCCTAGAGTGATTGGGGCCATTGATTGCACTCATATCAAAATTGAATCACCAGGTAAAGATTTAAAAAACCAAAAACACATTCTTTTCATTGGAACGTTTTTAAGGTGGAGAAAATGCTGAAGTTTTTCGCAATCGGAAAGATTATTTTTCAATTAACGTTCAAGCCATGTGCAATGCGAATATGGAGTTTACCAACGTAGTTGCTAGGTGGCCTGGTTCTACTCATGATATGACCATTTTCAATAACTCGATTTTACGAGCAAATTTTGAGAATGGAGATTATTATTATTATTAGTACTAAAAGCCAGTCTACAGGTGGTGGAACCCAATTACAGACTAACCGAATGATCTGTAAAGATTATGTATTTACATGTGTTACGAAAAATTGTTGACTATTCAGGCAGCTATTATTACTACCTTATCCTATAGGAAAGTTAAACAATTTTAATTGGCTGATTCTATTATGTTGTATATCAAGTTAGGATAGCTGCTCTTAACACACAATCGTTTACTATGAATATGTCTATGTTGTCATTAACATCATGATAGTTCAGAATCATCTGATATATTGGAGACATTAGCAGTGCATTTGTTCTGGGCGTTGGAATTTCGAACGTGTTCAATTTCCTGCTGTTGAATGATGGGGTTTTGAATAAGATTTTTGACAATAAATAAGGACTATCGATTTTATTCGTTAATATTTGTGTTAAAAATTTTAACGAAAAATATTTTCTTCTTTTAATTAGCTGAGGCAGTTGAACTTCTTGTAGTAAAATATCATGTGGATAACCTCTCTCAGGATATTGGTTGTTAGAAACGAAGAAGATGAATTTAGCAAACCGTCGCTGAACTTTTTCAAGACTAGAGATATGTATTTGATGGATAGGCGACCACACAACACTGGCATACTCCAGGCGAGATCGAACCAATGTTTTGTATAATAGAATAAGAGTATCGACGCTGTTCAAATATTTACCGTTGCGCAATATAAAACCAAGAGCTTTACAAGCTGAAGAAACTGTATTTTCTATGTGATACCTAAATGTGAGCTTGCTGTCATAAATTACGCCCAAATCTTTAAAAGTGTCGGAACGATTAATTATTGTACCATCTACAGAATAATCGAAAAGTAGAACATCAGTTTTCTTAGTAAAGCTTATAGTAAAACATTTTTCTCCATTTAAAAGCAAATTGTTGTCAGTACACCATCGTTGAAGTATATCGATGTTACCCTGCAGTTTAATGCAGTCTTCCAGCGTATCAACTTGACAATATATTTTCAAATCATCCGCATAAAGTAAATGAGGAATGTTTAGTCTCGAAGATAAGTCGTCTATATACACAATGAAAAACAAAGGTCCCAAAACAGATCCTTGAGGAACGCCCGAAATTTGTTTAAATAATTTAGATTTATAACCCCGGTACTGTACATATGAAGATCTATCATACAGATATGATGATATCAGATTCAATAAATCCTGTGACAACCCGAAGTGTTCCAATTTAGCTATAAGCAAATTGTGATCGACTCGATCGAAAGCCTTCGACAAATCGGCATACAATACATCAACCTGTTTTCCCTGATCGATATGTTCACAAAGGAATTGCGTGATAGATATTAAATTTGTGACCGTTGATCTTTTTGCCACAAAACCATGCTGACATAAAGAAACCTGATTGAAAATGTGACGGGGCATCCTTTCATGCATTATAAGTTCAAAGACTTTACTAAAGTTATTAATTATAGATATAGGTCTGTAATTTTTTACTTGGGACCTATTACCTTTTTTGAAAATTGGACAAACACGAGCAATTTTCCAGTCAGAAGGAAAGGTACTTGTTTTGAGTATTTGATTAAAAATTATTTTTAGAGGATAAGCTAAAGCCGATTTACAGTCTGAGACAATAAAGGCTGGAATTAAATCTGGTCCAGTTATTAAATTAGGTTTTATTTTAGAAATAGACATCAAAATTTCTTCTTCTGTTATATTATTTTTGATATGTAAGGTTTTTGGATATAGCGCAATATTATTATCAGAGATAACGGAAGAGTTATTCACCGAGAACGAATCCGAAAAACAATCCGCAAATGCGTCAACGATTTGTTGTGGCTGAGTAATTATTTCATCACCAGACTTCATAACAGAGGGGATGGATGTACTATTGTTAATCGAATTTATGTAGCTCCAGAAACGTTTCGGATTAAATTTGATTTCGTTGTTCAATTTTTTAATATAAGCTGAGTAGGCAGTCTTAATATCAGCTTTTATTTTACTCCTTAATCGTTTAAACTCATTGTAATCGTCATTTTTATTATATTTTTTAAACTTTCGCCAGACTGCATGTTTTTGTTTTATAAGCAAAATAATATTTTTGTCAAACCAGGCTGGATAGGCTCCAAGTGACGGCGATTTTTTAGGAACACTTTTGTTAAATAAATTATACAACATGTTGTTAAAGGAAGAAACCAAAATGTTAGGGTCAGAAATATTTAGAAGAAACGACCAATTAACCAGTGCCAATTCATTGTACAAGTCATGTAGTCTAGCTTTTCTAAAATTGTACTCAAGAACACCAGTAGATGAATATTTAGTTGTTTTTGACTTGAACGATTCTACTACAATTTCGAGAGCTGGATGATAATCATTTTCAGCGAGAATTAAATCGTTTGCCTTCGAGACTTTACATTGCTTGCTACACAACACGAGGTCTAGCAATCTATTCATTTTATTTGTAACACGATTTTGTTGACTTAAATTGAAGAAAGATGTAAATGATGAATAGGATGCATGGATAGAAGAGCTCGGTTGGTGATGTGACCAGTCAATAAATTCCGGGATATTGAAGTCACCTAAGATGAGCAGGTCGGAATCATATAGTTCGTGCATTGACATAAGCGAGTCGAATAAGATGGAGTAACTGTTGGTAGGACACGATGGCGGAATATATAAAACACATATATATGTGCAACGACAGTTATTAAATATCTTTACCAGTAATACATCGATAGTCGGAACTTTATGGATATCATTACAAATACTATAGACATCTAAATTAATTGCTTTAATATTATGTCGTATTCCCAATAATACCCCACCTCCTCTCCTGTAGTTTAAAACAGTAAATTTACGATCGGATCTAAATATCTGGTAAGAATTTAAATCAATGATTTCACCATCTTTTACACTATCGTGTAACCACGTTTCAGTCAGTACGATGATATCGTAAGGTACCTGAGTTGTTGCATGAAATAAGTCTTTTAATTTTGTATTAACACCTCCTACATTCTGGTAGTAACAAATAAGATTAGAATTATAGATATAAGGTTGCGGGAATTGCAGTCCAGGTGACGTATTTAAGACCATCGAGGAAGTAGGAGGTATTGGTGTTTGAGGAGAAGCAGTTGAAGAGACTGATTGCTACAAGTCGCTTAAGCCGAAAACTTCTGATTTTAATTTCCGAATAAAATTTTTGTAAAAACAACAATTCTCGTAGTCCCAGCTAGCATGAGAGATCTGTTCTGTATTTAAGTTATCCCTAGCCTGAATACTAGAGCAGTTGATGCATTTCCATTGATCATTTTGAGCTTTACACTATTTTAACTCATGTTCTTTAGAGCATTTTGGACAAGAAAGAGTTTTCTTACAAGTTTTTACAGAGTGGTTAAAACCATTGCACTTGTAACAACGCAAAACATCTACAGCATCGTAAATATTGCAGCCGTCCAAACCAATTAGACAGTGGCCTAGGTTCAGTGCTTTTTTATATGAGGAAATGTCGACTTGCAATATTATTTGATGTAGGTTTCGTCGTCTTTTTATAGGCAAATATTTTAAGAGAGTACACTGCGAATTATCTGAAAATATATGTTTATTTTGTTTCAATAGGTAAGGTACTATCATTTCTTCACTTATATCCTCTGATATACCTGAAATACGAATTCTTGGTAAGGGTGTCTTGACATCACGAATGTCATAATTTTCGTTTAAATTGTTATCATGTGCAAGTTTTTTAAATTCACCAGGGTTTTGGCATTTTAAAAATACACCACCATTTTTTATGGGTTTCACTTTCGCAATTCCGATTTCATCAGAAATTCCAGGGCTGATTGATGTTAGAATGTCAGATTTAGTTTGAGCAATACTTTGAGCTCCATTTTTTGGTTTGACTACAATGGCAGACGCGTTTTTGAGGGTAGCAGCATACGATGCAACTGATTCTGGTGGAATTTGTAATTCACGGTTATGATAGTGTTGATTCATCATTTTAATTTCTTGGCGTAATAGTGTGTTTTCGTGTTTTAAATCCTCGATTTGCCGACTGAAGAAAGTAAAGTTTTTATTAACTGTGCGTGTAAAATCAACAAAAATATTTCTTATTAGACAATCTGGAAGCTTCCCTATTGCGGCACTATCAAAAAGTGACATGGATGGTACAGGAGTTAGAATATTTTCCGTGTTTGTTACAGAGGTCGAAGTTGAACTGCAGTAATCACAACTCCAAGATTTTATTAAGCCTGTCTCTTTCATAGAAATAACATCATTTTTGTTTAAGTTGGCACAAGACAGGTGGTAATTAGCGCTACATCCCTTACGACATGCTATATAATCGTCATTTCTATTTATATACTTGTTGCACATTTTACATTTAACCGCCATTGTAAGGTATAATTCCCCGAAAAGGGGGAATTCGCAAAAACTGTACCAGAAAATACGTTTATAAGAACTTTATAAGAAAATGGTGTATTCAATAAACGATCTTAAGTACTAGGGTATACGAGCCACATTCAAAAGAGGCCCATACCGAAACACCCTTTTGGAACGAACTCACCACCACAGGAATGCAGAAATTAGACCAGGGATGACACCTAATAGTTAAAAATTTAAGTGAACAAATAACCTCAAAAAATCGCCGAGATTACTGGAGCACCAAAACACAACACACGCACCGGTGATGCCGACTCGAGTTATTCCAAATTGTATAATATTGGGTAAGTTTCAGTTTTTAATATGTGTTTTAAATACATTGCATTTGTTTTCAGGTGATGGTGGCTATGGTGTAAGACACTATTTTTTTACACCATTATTAAATCCACTCACTCAAGAAGAGCAGTTGTATAATGAAGCTCATATTCGTACAAGAAATGTCATCGAAAGAACTTTTGGTGTCTGCAAACGAAAATTTCCTGTGCTAGCATATGGATGTCGATTAAAAAAAGAAACTGTTTTGAGTATTATAATTGCGTGTGCAGTCCTGCATAATATAGCTCGACAAATGGGTGAAGATGAACCTCCTCTCCCAGCTGACATTAACCAGCATGAACTGCAGCAACTTATTGAAGATGGTCAAATACCAGAGGTCAATGTTATTGACAACCAAAGGAGGGGCAGTGAAATTAGAAGAAATTTTATAACAAATTTTTTTGGAAATTTATAAATTTAACAAATAAATGTTTTATTAATATTTTATTTTATATTTTATTGTTTTTCCGTATTATCCTGTTTCAGTTTTCTCAGCTGCTCCTTTTTTATTTCAATATCTAGTTCTAAAATTTGCTTTCGAAGCAAACATTCAACTTGCTTTCTTTCTTCGTCATGTTTTTGTCCTTCGAGTTGTGCCTCAACTAACTCCATTTTCTTTGTAGCTAGTTCGTCGTAAGCTTTCGACAAATGGCTGGAATGTAGTGCTGTTATTGTTGGCCTCCTCCTATTAATGACTGATTAATGTTAAGACAAAGGTCTTTTCATCTGCCGTAAAATTTGCTCCCCTCTGGCGCTTTGTATTATTCATCTGAAAATAAAACATATGTACATAATTCTTTACAACAAAACGTTCTAATTGTGGTACATACCTTCTTTATATTATTTTTTGTCTTGTTAGAACTTTATTCCACACTTTTCACCGCTGATTACAAAACACTCACGAACGCTGCTACTGTTGAAAGGTTGAAATGGCTAAAATGATTGCAAAATTGCAAATTTTCGATTTCCAAAACCATCAGCCAATAGAAACGAAGTATTGTTCCGTTACTATGGCTACCGCACATGCGTTGTATCGTTGTGTCTCCTTAAGCACTGCTTACAAATTTAAGCCACAGGTAAACGGGCACTTAAATTAAGGATTTCTTAGAAGGCTTTAAGAGAGAGTTAACCGTTGGTGCAACGCATTCTTAGTTTTAAGAAAAGTACCTGACTTAAACGTTGGTGCAAATGGGCATTAAAAACCAAAAGATTATTTGAATAATAAACAATGCGCCCCTCTTTCTATCCTCTCTACTCCACGCCTATGCTCCTGCGCGCAAGTGCAGTCACAGAACTGCCGCAGAAGAACGGCGCAATTGACCAGTAAAGTGAATGACGCGCGAAATTTGAACTCAGTTCATAACACGAGAGCACGAGACCCGTATTTCAGTTCCCCGTGTAATCCTTATGCGTGAAATCGAGGCGTCATTTTAACGCTTAAATTCTACCATTAAAGTAATTTTCTTATATATCCCACTACTTGTACCATGAAGACTGATATTTTTACTGTTGATCTTGACACCAAACATGAACGGAACCGGTGGTATTTAATAAATATTTAAATTCAACTTTTACCACTACATTTGCCTCGAACGTATGTCGTACAGTGGTTCATACTGCCATTGAGTTCCCCCTCCACATAAATGGCTTTTACTTCCTCTTGTCTTGTTAAAGGTCGTTTACTGTCGTCTGAACTAACTCGGTAAATTAGCCTTTACACGCACCCTGCCTGTAAAACGTTACCGTGGCAGCTTTACAGGCACCTTGCCTGTAAAACGTTATCATGACAGCACCGGAATCAAACACACATTCGCTGCGTCGGCCTTTTTCCTAATCTCACTAATACTGTGCTAATACTAACGTTAAAATCACCTTCAAACTCTTCATCTTCATCGAATTCCACAATTAACAGAGCTCAGAAACAAAATTAAACTATTTAAATTATTAATCGAATTTACAAATTGACAGTCCCGTTATTTTCAAACAATTCAATTTTCCATAGTTACCGGAGCAAACTATGAAAAATAACTGCAATTTCTATGACTGTAATTTCAAGTAAAATTTCTAGAGATGCCAAAGTTGTTCATTTTCAGGATTTTCAGCAAGAGGAAGTAAAACGTTGTACGCGGCTCGCTTGCAACTAGCCTTTACTGGGGCTCACCGGATTACAGAGCTCGCTCCTACGTCGCTCGCCCTGCAAACATTCCGGCTCGCCCGTAAAGGCTAATTTACTAAGCTTGCCACGTAAATAACTATGATTTTCACATGCTACAGATACGGTTGTGAATTTAAAATAATACATAAAGGAGAGTTTTCAATCAATTGCCAAATTTTGATTTAAGAATCATCATCAATCCCAAGCTTTTTTCTTTTTACACATTTTTGCTAGAAAAGGAAAAACTTAGCATTCCTGATTAAACCTTTCATGTACAAGTAAAAATTACTTTCATTTTAGTACGAATTGGGTCTGAAACACCCATTTAAAAAAAATCACAATTTAAAGAACAATTTATTTCAAAACAAAAAAAAAATATTCTACAATAAAAAATTGCACTTCCTAATGCAAAATCTGATTCACTTTTGGTGAAAAACTGGCCCACAAACTGTCGTCTTGATGGTCCATTTAAATAGTCCTCAGACACTAATAGTTCTTCGACACTGTGAAGTAGATTTTCTTGAGATCTTTCTGGTTTAGAGCCCAATAGTCCAGTGCTTCGCTGTGGTGCTTCGCTCCCATCAGTTTGTCGTAAGCTTTCATGAAGTTGTACCTCAACATTGGCTGTTTTTAGGTTGACTTGGGGATTAAAAGAATTTTCAGAGATCATAGCTCTGACCTCAGCTGATTCACTTTTCTTCAGATGTACGTCCAAAGAACGCAAATTATTGGTCCAAAATAACTACATTATAACGTCCGTGTAGGGCAGGTGTAGTCATATGGTGACATACAAATGCACCTCTTGGGGTTTCACATGTTGCCTCTCTTAAGGAATATCTATGCATAATAAAACAAAATACCTCATAATCGTACTTGATACAGAACTTTAATCAATATACATTAACTTACCATAACCTTATACCTGGTTATTTCGCATTCTAGCTCGAATAAACTCTTCAAGCACATTTAATTTAATTCAGTATACCAATTGACTTTCACTATATTATTTGACTGCAAAGAATTTTCTCCGTTCACAATGCATTTCCGATCGTCAACAAAAAAAAATTGGTAATTGCCCCTATTGTTAACACATGTCTTTTCGTCATTATTAATAACAAATACAAAAAAACCAGTCCACAGACTCTTAATATGTGTGGGTTTGGAAGAAGGACAGTGTTCTCTTAATATCATTTACTATGTTTATTCATTTACAAAGCTGGTTTTTTCACCAGAACAAAATGGACACACTTGCCTTTTTTTTTCAACTTAGCTTGTGCGCATGTGCATAATTGCCTTCCTAATAACATTCTCTCCCAATTATGCAATTGGTTATAACACAAAAAAAAACTTACAATACATCAACTAAATCCATCTTATCTCTAAAATAAACAAATTTTTCTACAGGCAGGCCCTTCGTAAAAATATCTGCAATTTGTTCACCTGTCTGTAAGTACTGAATCTTAAATTTTCCATTATTAACAAAATCTTTTACATAATGGTATCTTACATCTATGTGTTTACTTCGTTTAGTTTCATACGTCTGAGCCATTTTTATGCAACCCTGATTATCTTCATACAAAATTATGGGTTCATCAAGATTGCAACTTTCTTTAAGTATTTGGCTTACAAAGATGCACTCAGTCATACAAGTTGCCAATGCATAAAATTCTGATTCGCAACTTGACAATGCTATTACATTCTGTTTCTTAGATTTCCAAAAGATCGTTTTTTCATTTAGCTTAATCACACACCCAGATATGCTTTTCCTATCAGTAATATCACTTGCGTAATCTGAATCTACATATGCTGTTAACTTAAAACTATTACAAATATTACTTTTATAAAATAGTCCAACATTTTGAGTGTAATTCAAATATCTAAGTACATTTTTTAAATATTTCCAGTGCCTGTCATTATAACAATTTTGAAATCTTCCAAAATATGAAACTGCGTAACATAAATCTGGTCTAGTTCCTAACATTATGTACATTAGACTTCCAATTAATTCCTTATATGGGACGTTTAACACATTATTCTCGCCTTTTTCAAGATTCAATTTAGGCTGAACTGGGATCTTAGATATTTTGCAATTGGTCATATTAAAATGTGACAAAACCTTATTAATTAAATTTTTTTGGTCAATAAATATTCCATCACTATCTTTTCGAATTTCAATCCCTAAAAATACAATTTTATCCGAACAAGTTAAATCTCTAACATCAAGATTAGTTCTTAAATTTTGCTTAATCATAGCTACATCACTATCCGAATATGAAAATAAAAGTAGATCATCAACCCAAATTAAGATGTAGGTTACACCATTGAAATAGAGACATGGATCTACAGATGACCTCCTAAAATTTAACTCAAGTAAATTTCTATTTATACACTCATTCCAACATTTAGGACTCTCACGCAAACCATACAAAGCCTTTGATAACTTGCATACCAGTCTATTATCTCTAACATTAAGTCCATCTGGAGGCTTCATGTATACATTGGTTTTGAGTTCACTCTTTAAAAATGCCGTCTTGACATCCAGTTGGTGTATCTTGAGATTCTGGTCCGCTGTAATTGCTAGTAAGATTCGAAGAGTTACCACTCTTGCTACTGGAGCATAAATTTCTTCATCCTCCAAGGCTGGCTGTTGATATCCTCTTGCTACCAACCGAGCCTTTTTCACATTTTCGCCGTTGACCTTCTTTTCCGTGAAAATCCATCTAGAATCAATTACCTTGACGTTTTCAGGTTGTTGTACCAACGTCCACGTCTTATTTTCACTCAAAGACTTGAATTCCTTTGCGACTGCTTCTTTCCAACCATCATCTTTCACTGCTTCTTCATAGCTTTGCGGTACTTCTGACGGTAAGTGACCCGCTGAAAGCGCCAACATTATTTCATAATCATCTAGATATTTGGGTAACTTTTTTTCTCTCCGACTTCTATGAGCAATATTTTCTTCCATCGTAATTATCTCCTCATCACTTGTTTCACTCTCACTCATGTGAGTATCACTTATCTGGTTTGGTAGATCAATAATCACATTTCTTTGATCTTGTTGTTTCTTTCGTTCATCAAATATAACTGATCTTGTAGTCACAATTTTACTTTTGACTGGATCCCATACTCTATATCCATTATCACAGTATCCTACCATTATCATTTTCTTGGAATGAGGATCTAATTTACAAGTTCTGTCTTCTTTTGGCACATGGGTATAGGCAATTGAGCCAAAGACACGAATCTTGGACAAATCCGGTGCATACCCATACCACAACTCAGCAGGTAAAATTTTTGATGACAACGCAGTGGTTTCAGTTCTATTTGTAAGGTATACTGCAGACAGGACAGCTTCACCCCAAAATCTCTTCTCCATTCCTGAGTCAAATATTAAGCATCTGGCTTTATCTAAAAGTGTCCTGTTAAGACGTTCTGCCACACCATTCTGAGACGGATTTCTTGGAACTGTATACTGTACATTGATTCCTTTCGAAGCACAAAACTTCTTGATTTTTTCTGAAATATATTCCCCACCATTGTCACAACGAAGTCGCTCGAGCTTTCGGTTAAATTTTGTCTCGACCATAGCAACATACCTTTGCAGTAGTTCTTCTACCTCACTCTTGTTTTCCATTAAATAAACTACAACGAAGTGGCTATAGTGATCTGTGAATGTTATAAAATACTTCTTATTGTTGTAGGTAGGTGGATTGATTGGACCACATACATCCGTTGATACACATTCTAATAATCTTTGTGTTTTTCGTTCTTCCGGAATTGTTTTTAAGTATGGTGATCTTGTCTGTTTCCCCTGAAGACAAACTTCACAAACGTCTTTTACGGGATATTTACTTGAATGTCCCATGCGTCGATGCCATAGATCAGACGTCTCAATCACAGTGCTTGCATGTTCAATTTCATGAAGGTTTAGTTTTACCAGATACAGTCCTCCAACACGTTCACCTCTCAAAATTATGTTTTTATTCTTGAAAACAACGACTTGTTTGTTTTCAAATCTTACAGTGAGTCCTTTTTCTTCCATACATTTGACAGACATCAAGTTGAAGGATAGTTCATCACACACTTGGACATTTAGGAGTGTCAATTTCATGTCATTCATCGTGGTAACTGCCAAATCTCCACAATATTTAGCATTGACTGCTTCACCCTCTTTGGCCACATGTATTTGTCTGGAACTGAAGTTACATAATTTAAAAACTCACGCTTTACTAGGTGACTAGTTGCTCCACTATCTACGACAAACGTTATTTCTCTTACATTTTTGGGCCATTCAGTCTTGTCATTATTCTTTTGAGTCAAAAATGCAATATCGTAACTGTCGTTACTTTTGGGGTTATATTTACGACCGCCATGTTGTTCATCTGTCAAGTGTGCATGCGAAGTTAGCTTTCTGCTTGGACACCATAGATGTTAAATTAAGTTACCTAGATACCCGACTACCTAACCCTGCGCTGCAGAGAGAAGTGAAGCTTCAAGGTCGAGTGGCCGCCATTTGTCAGAAAGGCCAAACATTGCTGTCAATGTATGATCGCTTGGTAATATATTAGGAAAATAGTGCTAAATATATGCTATATATATGTATATATGAATTAAAGTATAGTTCCAAAAAGTGTTGGTTTATTAAAAGCGAAATATGCCGGCATCGTGTTCCGCATTTGGGTGTACAAATCGGTTTAAACCAGGAGGAAACGTCCGGTTTTTTGGGTAATTTGCGGTGGATTGCTAAATCGGTTTGTCTTTTTATTATGTGATTTTGTCTTTGGATTTCCCCTGAAAAATGAAAAGCTCTTGGAACAGTGGGTTAGAGTAATGAAAAGAAAAAAATTTACACCAACAAAAGCCAGTAAATTGTGTAGTGACCCTTTCACTGAAAGTGATTATTTGGTGCGTCCTGGCACGTATTTACTGCTTAGGTATTTTTTTTTTATTTTAATGACTTCTGATTTATGTAAGAATTGGAAAACTATTTTAATTATTTTTCCTCAATAACGTAACATTTGTAGTATATTTTAAGTTATATGTACTTTTGTTGTATGTCAGGATTGGCAAGCTAACAATAAAATGTGCACCTGATTTCCTTAGAACAAATAAATAATATTTTACCCTTACTTTCACCATTACCGTAATACGATTCTACAGTATTTTGCCTCTTTGACAAATGGCCGCCATAGGCTTCACTTTACGCGACGCAGTTGCGCATCTAGTAGAGTATAAGGTTAAAATCTATGTTGGACACTCGGAGCGCCTGTGTCCTCTCCCGCCACACTGGTAACATTTACCACTAAAATTTCCCCTAGATTCGAATTGTGCTTGTCCTTGTCCAGCACTAGAACTACCACCATTTTTCACCTTCACCAAATGGCTGGCATTTCCCACTCGGTTGTCATAATGAAATTTCTTACCATTATAACCATTATTAAATCTAGGGTGGGTCTTCGACTTTGAAAACGTTGCTGAAAATGCTTGACCTGACTCTGTACGCTCTGTATTTGTGGGCTCGCATTGACTTCTTCGTTCTTCTTCTAAAAGCTTCCTTTTGACGAATTCAAGACTTATTGATTTTGGATCCTTACTAAATAGAATGTCAATGGACGTTACAACGGCTCTATAATCATTTGGCATCGCAGATAACATTTGTATTATCACCTCATCGTCGTCCATTTTTCCACCAGCTTGCTTTAATTCGTACAGAACTCTGTCAAACTCCATTAAAAAGTCTTTTACGCTGCCGCCATCTCGCATCACCAGATTTCTGAATTTCTTTTGTAAATCAATTCTTGACGCAATTTCTTCTCTTTCATATATTGCTTTCAGGGTTTTGATCATTTCCCGAGCTGTATTCTTTTCTCTAATCATTTCCAGTACATTGTCAGCTACAGATTGCACGATTATGTTTCGGGCTTTAATATCCGCTTTTCGAAACTCTTCGTCTACCTCAGAGATCCTTTCATCCAGAGCTTTTTCCGCTGACTTCTGCTCCACACATATTTTCGTTCGGCAGAGCCAATTTGAAAAGCTTGTAGTGCCATCGAACGGTTTCACGTAAGGTTGACCAACAACCGGCATCATCTTGCCCCGACCAAACCGACTTTCGATTAATCCCGACACTAAAATTTCCACTACTTTTCAAATTCACTGCTACTTTCTAAAGCTGTAGTTCTGTGCCCATAACCTCTTAATATGTGTGGGTTTGGAAGAAGGACAGTGTTCTCTTAATATCATTTACTATGTTTATTCATTTACAAAGCTGGTTTTTTCACCAGAACAAAATGGACACACTTGCCTTTTTTTTTTCAACTTAGCTTGTGCGCATGTGCATAATTGCCTTCCTAATAACACAGACATATACAACCTAATGTGAATTAATATCACAGAAATAGTATCACCCAAAAATTGATTATGATTGTTTGTTGTGATTAAAGTACGAAATCAACTGTCATATTTTGGGGATTTTCACGATCTAAACGTCACTAGTAGCGCAAAATATTCGCGTTCTTTTTCTTTCCCAAGGGTTTCTGGATTTTCTGTTTCACTCATGCGCAAGACGTTAGAAACGATGTACGTTACTTCGATGGATAGAGCTGTTTTTAATTTGCAATATTTCTTTAACAGAAGCTTTTTATATAGTTAAACCTTTAGTAATAGGAAGATAATTGTACAGTCTTTATCGCTTGTAGCATGAACTAGTTAAGATTTTTACCTATGCGGCGTATTTTGTCTGTAAAATCAAGCTCCCATAAGAAACCCATAGTAGAATTTTTGAATTATGAACTGCCGCGCATTCTAAATTCTAACCTTACTTTACTGGTCAATTCCAGTTAGGTAAATGCGATCGAATCTTGGTGTCTTGTGTCCGCCATTTTAAGCAGTAATAGATGTCTTCTCAATTATTACAAATAGAAGTAAATTATCCAGATCTTAATAATAGTAAGTTTTAATACATGTGTCTGCCTTTTAATGTATAAATATTTTAGAGGAATTGCCTCACTACATGGGATGTGTGTTTGAAATCCAGCGAGACCAGGCCAAGGGTAGTTTTTTGCGCACGTGCTTTGCAGAGGTTACGATAGAAAATGTCGTTGGGTTCAAAAGAAATCTCCATCCCTCTTGCGTTTGGCGAGTTTTTTACAAAAGAAAGGACCGAACATCTGATTATTTTGAAAAAGGTAGCCAAAGCAAGAAACCAATCTATCCATTACCAGAAAGTGATGAACAATTGAAACAACTGTTTGATGATATATCCAAAGTCAGTGCTTCTGTTGGAGTGAAGGTACTGCAAAAGCAGTACACTGACAATAGAGAGTTTGCAGTAGTGGACTATAGTCCGATATTCTGCTCTTGTCCAGTACCGGATTCTAAATTGGCCACAGAGCCACCTGGTATGTGGTCGATTTCAGAGGTGACAATGGAATTATCCAGCATGAAATTATAAATTAAGTAAATTAAAATTTTTGGTTGTTAACTTTATAGGAATGTGATTTATAATAATAAAGTAAAAGTATTATATGTGTGATTTTTTTTTGTTCACTTGGAAAAATTTATGTCCATAAATTTAAAGGAGAATATTATCTACAGTAGCGGTCATTTCTACGGAACCACTCGATAAAAAGTCAAGTTGGTAGCCCTGTCATCTAGTACTTTACGCCGAACGCAATTGGTAGCGGCAGTTGATATGGCAATCGAAATTAGCACAACACGAATGTTTCGGTTGCCCTTAGCTATGCCGCACTGTATCCGGTACAGACTGTATGTTCTGTTCATCCATTTATTAAAATAAAATATCTACATTGACAATGGGGCCATCTAACCTGTCAAATTTTTGACACATATGTTTCCCCCAGAAACCCGTCAAGGTCACTTACACCAAACAAATTTTGAAAATTTACACTAGGGAGAGGTTCTATAGAAAAGATCGCGACTTTAGAGAAGAAATTGTTAGTTTATGTTTATGATGTTCTGTTTTGGTTTGTTGGTGAAGTTTTTCGTTGATTATTATTGATTGATGAAAATGGTTTCGGTTAGTCGGTTACACCTTCTTACATTTCTCTCTTACACACTTGTTGATCGCGTTACATGATCACGACAAAAAATTGTAGTGAAGTAAAACTGAAAATTTACTCAGACAGTTTAAGGTTTAACAGTGAGCTAACCTGCGTCTTTTGGTCCACATCCCAAATCGATTAGCTGGAAATTAGCAGTTCTTAACTTGTTTCATCTCAATATGGAGGGGGTGGGTGGGCGGGCTTCATATTTTGTACATTTTTTTTTTAATACACGAAATCTTTCCCGAACAAGAAACTATTTAAAAACATATTTAACTATCGTGTTGTTCAAATAAAACTATAAGTAACTAAAAAAAGTCCAGATCTCAATTATAATGAATTTTTTATTTGTTTAATTACCAAATCCATAGGTTTTTGCAAAATTTTACTGTTTCAAGAACATATTTCACATGGTAATTTCTTACAGAGAAATAAGAATTTTGCAACTAAGCTCCGCCCTCGGCTCACTATGAAGAAAAAATCATCACAATTGCGAGGGGGTGGGCGGGCGGGGCTTATATTTTGTACATTTTTTTTTTAATATACGAAATCTTTTCATAACAAGAAACTGAAAACTTATTTAACTATTGTCAAAAGTGGAATAACTTCTATAAAAAATAAATTTGGAGTTTTTTTCGACAGATCTTGAACAAAAATATACATTGAAAAATAATGACGTTTCAAAATATGCAAATAAATAAATAATACAAACAAAATAAAACGATATAATAAATAAATAACGTAATAAATAAAATACAATGATAACTTTTTAAAAATCGTGATAATTGCGGCCAAACAAATATCTATACAGATTCCAAAAATTTTGATATTTCGAATTTTGGATTTAAAAAAATTTCTAGTGGAGACAATGATCCGTAAAATTTTTCTTAATTTTCAATCTAGCAGTTTTTCGATGGGTTTTAAATAAATGGCGATTTTTTTTTTTATTAAGAAACTTATACTTTGATGGGCAAAATTAATTTTTCGAGAATAATTTTAAATTTACCGAAAAAGTTTCTTCTGTAGAAAATTTTCAGCAAATTTTGAATCTTAGGGGTTTTTTTGGTGAATCTTAAATGAATAAAGACAACGGAAAAAATTATATCGTAACAATTTCTGACAAAAATAATGTATACCTAAATGGAGATCGATTTTCCAAATGGAAAATTTTCTGCAGTTTTCAATTTGGAAGTTTTCCATAGTAAATTTTAAATCTGTGTTTTTTTTCAGTTGGCAACATAATTAAAATTTTATGGTGGTAGTAAGGACGAAAAAGGATAATAAGGTCGAAAAGGGACGAAAAAAGATGATGAAGGACGAAAAAGGACGCAAAAGAACGAAAAAGAACGAAAAATGACATATGTTTCCCCCAGAAACCCGTCAAGGTCACTTACACCAAACAAATTTTGAAAATTTACACTAGGGAGTGGTTCTATAGAAAAGATCGCGACTTTACAATTCAATTTAAAATAATCAAGTTTTTTAACTTATTCTTGATAAAGAATTTGAGTTGTTAAAAAATTATCTCATGAAGAACAAACGATAGCAGTCTAATATGTGTAATTTTCTATCTAACTCAGATTATTATGCGAAGTTTTGTTAGTCATTTTCTATGCATTTTTTTTTTTCAACAAAAACCACAGATTATCTCTGTCGAAACTTGAACAATTCTGTGTGAACATCGATGTCAATTTTGTCAATTTCGTTGTGTTGGCAGCGCTGCTAGCTCCAATTCTCAATTTTGACGTTTGTCTGGTGGTTGGGAGTTCGTGGAATTTTGTCACAAAATGGGTTTTGGGGATTATCCAGCCGAGTACAACCCGAAGGTCCATGGTCCGTACGACCCAGCGCGTTTTTATGGAAAAGGTATAAATATTTTGTGGTGTATTCACGGTATGAACCTAACCTTAAATTACATAATCAATTTCAGCGGATACTCCTTTCGCACAAGTGAAGCTTGGAGAAATTGGGTCTTGGTTGGCGCGCAGGAATAAGTCGCCCCAGGCCATGGTAGGGGCAGTGAGCAGGGGTGAGAACGAATTTTTTTAATAAATCGAGAAATTTATTCATATTGATTGCGACCAGTGGCGGCGCCACAAGGAAAGATTTCTGATTTAATAAATGTTAACTTGTGTTGTACAGCTTGGTGGAGATGGCAGCATAAGTACGTGCAACCAAAGCGGGCTGGAATCGCCCCATTCTTGCAGGTCGTGAGTGGAGCAATGGTCTTCTTCTACTTGATTAATTCCCAGAAGTTGAGTACGTATCACAATTTTTTTCCACACCATTTTATATTTAAAAAATTTGACAATTACATTTTGACTAGTTTTGGTAAAATTTAGTTTTCTTTAGTTGTCACCAAGAATAGGGTTCCTGTATGTTGTATCAAGATTAATAGATAGCGATAGCCACGCCTACTAAACTCTTAATGTTAATCTGTTGTTACAGGCCGTCACAAGAACTACAAGTACCACTAAGGATTTTTTCGCATGCGCTGTAGTTGGGTTTACTGAATAAAGTCTTTAAGTAATTGCAGCGTTTATTTGTAAAAAAATATTCTAAAATTCTATTAGCCAATTTGTTAATACGTTACAGTTATTTTTAAGAAAACACTCTTTACAAAATATATATGAGAAAAATAGACAAAAATGTAGAAAAATCAAACACGCCAGATGGCCGCGAGCTCGGTCACTGTGCGGGCCGAGGTCGCGCCCGTTCGCAACAAGATTATCACAACCACTCACTCGAGTTCCAACAAAAATCAACAATTTTCAGAACAAGGGCAACATTTACGGCAATTTATCAAGCTGCGGGCATAGCTGCCGAATTAAAACGTAATAAAATAACACAACTAAAATCTAAGGCAATACAGCTTAGTAAAAAATAAAAAAAAAAGTATAAAATACTGATTTTGGATTTAATAAGTTAATTATTAAAACTGGGTTAAAAATTAAAAGAAATATCACTCATAATGTTAATACTACCAGGTTACGTCTAGATCTAACCGATTGATCTGTAATTATTTAATAATACTGAGTAGTACGTGCTTGCAACTGTTAAATAATCACAGAGCAAAACAAGGGGCGCGCCAAAGAAAAAGCTTAAATACAATCATATGTATATAAAAACCTAACAGCTAAAAAAAACTACAAAATTATTAATAACTCGTACAACAGTTTATTAAGTTTATGAAAAATCAACCATCAAAGAGTATTTTAATATTATTACTAAGATTAATTGCATCACATCAAAATAAGAGAATAAATGAGTATTTTGGTCGAATTTCGATAACTGTCAAGATCGCTTAAAATACTGAGTATTGATTACAAACTAAAAAAATAATAAAATACACAAGGTACTACTGGCTTTAAGCAAAAAGTTTGGTTACGGTGTCGTACTGGTAATAATGCGTCCATGGAAAATATCACATTTGGTGAAAAACAAACAGAAAAATTCAAGTTAATAACAGAACTGAGTATTAATCATTTAAATAAGTACTGAATTATAAAATAAAAAATAAATAAATATCTACAAAGAACTGGGTAGAGAAAATCAAGAGAGCTCCGTATAAGTAATCAAACTTAACCTAACGTAATTAAAAAATCCGAGTTAGGTGCACTTTAATTTAACCAAGCTTTGTTCTGTACGTATCTAGTTAAGTAGTTGGTATCACTGGTAATCGTTTCAATGACTTTCCGTTTCTGTCATTTGGGTGGAGACGAGGTTCAATGGGAGGTCCGCTATGCTCTCCTCGTCGGATTCGGCTTCGGGGGCCGACCCTCCAGGGGAGCCCCCGGTCGGCAAGAACTGGGCAAAATTCGCTGCCTGAAACATTCATCACTATTAATCGCACACCAAATTAAAACATCAAATTTAGATTCTTTTTGTAACCAGTTTTACAGAATTTTGTTTCAAAAGAGATGTAAGTATTAATGTAATTTTATAAAATGAATTCAATTTTACTTAAGACATAGAATTACTTAACACTAATTTGAAGTCATGTGTTCTAAGTCCATTATATATTTTGTTTAGTCATAGACTGGATTGATCGAAAAAAAAAACTCGTTTAGTAGGCTGTGCAACTTATTATTAATAATGATGTTGGCAACATCAAAGCGTTCCTTGTTCAGTTTGACAGTTATGGTCAAATAACTGTCAAATAAAGGCAAATAGCTGCAATACCAACATAATTATTTTAAAAATAAATTCCACAGCTTACTAAAGGAGTTTATTCGATTAATAAGTGCACTGAGGTTAATTACAAAGTATATTAACAATTCGAAGATTATTTATTAGAACTGAGAACAAACAGAAGTGAAATAAAAGAAAAGTTTACTCAAAATATTGTTTTCATAATAAAAACAGGAATACAAAAAATGTGACAAAGTTTTCAAACAAAAAAAGAATAAATGAAAAACTGAATTAAATTGGTTCTCTTGAAGAACCAAGATCATTCATTAAATATTTCCGACAGCAATTGGCTTCATTGTGAAATAATTGAACTGATTAGAATACGCTCGGGAATACAAATAAGCTTTTTTTCACCGAGCTGCATACAAAATTTTAACTTTGTTGTCAAACTTTGTAAAATTCAAGCTTTAATATGTGAAAACAAGCAACAAAGAATATTTAACAATTTTGCAAACAAATTTATTTAATTTTAAGAATGAAATGAATACTTTATTTTTTACTACAATAACGTGCAAAGTTCATATGTAAAGCATTGCGATTTTTTTATTTCCGGAGCGTAAGCTGGCTGCTTTCATGACGTTTCATGACCCCTAGAGTACGAAGAAATAGATCTCCCGTTTCCGTCTGTTTGTAGACATTTTTATTAAACAGATAATTTTGTATGTACATTAGGGATATCATGGATGGTAAAATGCTAACCAAAATTTGTCTGGTCATCCCCATCAACAATAGAATGACGTCATCTCCGAATTTTACAACAGTAAATTTATTTAAATTTTATAAAATAACGTACTCTCTTTTGAGTTTCGACATTTTAGTTTTGGGTTTTTCTAGTTTTTCGATTCTTCAACTTTTAATTTTTTTTTTAATTTCTGATTGATTTCTCGATTTATAGTTTTTCAGATTTTTTAGTTTTCGGTTTCTCGATCTTTCGTTTTTAAAATCTTTGATTTTTGGATTTTTAACTTTTTTTATTTCTTAATCTTTCGAGTTCTCGAGATTTCCAGTTTCGATTCGTGTTTTTTAATTTAAATGTTTCAATTTTGAATTTTTCGATTTTGGGTTATTTCGACTTCTTGATTTCTCGGATCTTTTGATATATATTAAATTTTTTCGCATGTTTCAATTTTTCGATTCCTCGATTTTTCAAGTCTTCGATTTATCAATTTTTCAATTTCTGGATTTTTCGGTTTTTCGATGTCTCATTTGCTGGTTCTTTCGATGTTTGATTTTTTCAATTTGTAGATTTTTAAAGTTTTTGATTTTTCAGTTTTTCGATTTTTTTAACATTTCGATTTATCGTTTTTTTTTTTTAGTTTAAATGTTTCAATTTTGAATTTCGACATTTCACTTTTGGGATTTTCTAGTTTTTCGATTCTTTACCTTTTAGATTTTTTTTAAATTTTAGATTGATTTCTCGATTTCTAGTTTCCTGATTTTTTAATCTTTTGATTATTTAAATTTTACATTTTAGATTTCTCAATTTTCAACATTTCATTTCAGGGAATTTTTCAATTTCTGGATGTCAATTTATTCGATATTTTCATTTTTCGGTGTTTTAAATTTAATTAGTTTTTTTGATGTTTCGATTTCTCGATCTTTCATTTTTAAAATTTTTGATTTTTCCATTTTTCCATTTCTCATCTCAATTTTTCCAGTTTCGATTTTTCAATATTTCGATTTAGCCTGTTTGTAAATTTTTCGATATTTCAGTTTTGGGATTTCTCAATTCAGAATTTTTCGGTTCTTCTGATTTTTGATGTTTCGATCTTTCGATTTTTCAAGTGTTCGATTTGTCAGTTTTTTAACATATTTTAATTTTTTAAAAATTTAATTAGATTTTTTTTTAATGTTTCGATTTCACGATCTTTCTAAAAATTTTTGGTTTTCCGATTTTTCAATGTTTCGATGTATTCTGTTTTTTAATTTAAATGTTTCAATTTTGAATTTTTCGATTTTTGGTTATTTTGATTTTCAATTTTTCGACTTCTCGATTTCTCGATCCTTTGATATTTCAATTTCTCGCATGTTTCAATTTTTCGATATTTCCATTTTTTGGTTTTTTCAATTTTAGATTTTTTTTGTTTCGATATCTCAATCTTTCATTTTTAAAATCTTTAATTCTTGGAGATTTCTTGTTTTGTTTTTTCAATATTTCGATATAACAAGTTTGTTTAATTTAAATGTTTCAATTTTGAATTTGTCGATTTTCGAATACTCGATTTGTCGATTTTTTGAATTTTGACATTTCAGTTTTGGGATTTTCCAGTTTTCGAATCATTAACTCTTCGATTTTTTTTAAATTTTTAGGTTTTTAGATTTCTCAATTTCCAGTCTGTCTGTTCTTTTTTTAGTTTTTTGATTAAAAAGTAAATTTTACATCTTCGGTTTCTCAATTTTCAACATTTTATTTTAGGGATTTTTGATGTTTCGATTTTTCAATTTCTCGAGATTTCCAGTTTCGATTTTTCAATACATATTTCGATTTGTCGTGTTTTTTTTAATTTAAAGGTTTCAAGTTTGGATTTTTCAATTTTGAATTTTTCGAATTCTCGATCTTTTAAATTTTGACATTTCACTTTTGGGATTTTCTAGTTTTGATTCATTAACTCTTCGATTTTTTTAAATTTTAGACTTCTCGATTTCCTGGTTTCTAGTTTTCCGATTTTGTTTTTAGTTTTTTGATTATTTAAATGTTACATTTTTGATTCCTCAATTTTCAAAATTTCAGTTTCTGGATTTGTCAATTTTTCGATATTTTCATTTTTCTGTTTTTTAAATTTTAGATTTTTTTTGATGTTTCGATTTCTAGAAATTACCAGTTTCGGTTTTTCGACATTTCAATTTCTTGTATGTTTCAATTTTTCGATATTTGCATTTTTCCGTTTTTTAAATTTTAGTTTTTTTTGATGGTTCGATTTCTTAACTGTCATTTTTCGAAATTTCTTATTTTGATTTTTCAATATTTCTATTTATTGTGTTTGGTTAATTTAAATGTTTCAGTTTGGAATTTTCCAATTTTATAAAATGTAGATATTTCGATTTCTCTCAATTTTTCACTTTTTTGATGTTTCGATTTCTCTGTTATTTAGTTTTTTAGTTTAAATGTTTCAATTATGAATTTTTCGATTTTTCGAATACTCGATTTGTCGATCTTTTGAATTTTGACATTTCAGTTTTGGGATTTTCTAGTTTTTCGGATCATTAACTCTTCGTTTTTTTTTTAATTTCAGATTTTTCGACTTTTCAAATTTCAACATTTTATTTTAGGGATTTTTTCAATTTCTGGATTTTGTCAATTTTTCGATATTTTCAATTTTAGATTTTTTTAATGTTTCGATTTCTCGATCTTTCATTTTCAAAGTCTTTGATTTTTCGGTTTTTCAATATTTCCATTTATCGTGCATTTTTAATTTGAAGCTTTCAATTTTGAATTTTTCGATTTCTCGATCTTTCGATTTGTCACTTTTAGATTTTTCGGTTTTTCAATCCTTCGATTTATATTTTTTTTTTTAGTTTATATTTCAATTTTGAATTTTTCAGTTTTGGGATTTTCTAGTTTTTCGATTCATTAACTATTCGATTTTTTTATTTCAGAATTCTCGATTTCTCGGTTTCTAGTTTTCCTATTTTGTTTTTAGTTTTTTGATTATTTAATTGTTACATTTTCGATTTCTCAATTTCCAACATTTCATTTTTAAAATCTTTAATTTTTCGAGATTTCTTGATTAGATTTTTCAATATTTCGATTCATCGTGTTTGTTTAATTTAAATGTTTCAATTTTGAATTTTTCAATTTGATAAAATTTAGATATTTCGATTTCTCCATGTTCCACTTTTTTGATGTTTCGATTTCTTTTTGTTTGTTTGAATGTTTCAATTTAGAATTTTTCGATTGTTCGAATTTGTAGATCTGTTGAGCTTTTGAATTTTGACATTTTAGTTTTGGGATTTTCTAATTTTTCGAATCTTTAACTCTTCGATGTTTTTTAAATTTCAGATTTTTCGACTTCTCCTTTTCTCCATTTCTAGTTTTTCAGGTTTTTTTTAGTTTTTTAATTAATTAAATTTTACATTTTCTATGTTTCGATTTCTCGATCTTTCATTTTTAAAATCTTTGAATATTTGGATTTATTTTTTTTTTAATTTAAAGGTTTCAATTTTGAATTTTTCGATTTTGGATTATTTCGATTTATCGATGTTTTCGATTGGACACTTAGATCTTTCGATTTATATAGGGGAGTATTTTTTTAGTTTGTGTTTCAATTTTGAATTTTTCGATTTTTCGAATTCTCGATTTGTCGATCTTTTGAATTTTGACATTTCAGTTTTAGGATTTTCCAGTTTTTCCGATTTTTTAAATTTCAGAATTCTAGATTTCTCGGTTTCTAGTTTTCCTATTTTGTTTTTAGTTTTTTTGATTATTTAAATGTTACATTTTCAACATTTCTTTTAGGGAATTTTTCAATTTCTGGATGTGAATTTATTCGATATTTTCATTTTTCGGTGTTTTAAATTTAATTCGTTTTTTTGATGTTTCGATTTCTCGATCTTTCATTTTTAAAATTTTTGATTTTTCCATTTTTCCATTTCTCATCTCAATTTTTCCAGTTTCGATTTTTCAATATTTCGATTTAGCCTGTTTGTTTTTTAAAGTTCAATGTTTCATTTTGAATTTTTCGATTTTGGGCTATTTCGATTTTTGAATTTTCCAATATCGATTTCTGGATTTTTTGACATTTCAGTTTTGGGATTTCTCAATTCAGAATTTTTCGGTTCTTCTGATTTTTGATGTTTCGATCTTTCGATTTTTCAAGTGTTCGATTTGTCAATTTTTTAACATATCAATTTAGGGAATTTTTCAAGTTTTGATTCATTAACTCTTCGATTTTTTTAAATTTTAGACTTCTCGATTTCCTGGTTTCTAGTTTTCCGATTTTGTTTTTAGTTTTTTGATTATTTAAATGTTACATTTTTGATTCCTCAATTTTCAAAATTTCATTTTAGGAAATTTTTCAGTTTCTGGATTTGTCAATTTTTCGATATTTTCATTTTTCTGTTTTTTAAATTTTAGATTTTTTTTGATGTTTCGATTTCTCGAAATTACCAGTTTCGGTTTTTCAACATTTCAATTTCTTGTATGTTTCAATTTTTCGATATTTGCATTTTTCCGTTTTTTAAATTTTAGTTTTTTTTTGATGGTTCGATTTCTTAACTGTCATTTTTCGAAATTTCTTATTTTGATTTTTCAATATTTCTATTTATTGTGTTTGGTTAATTTAAATGTTTCAGTTTGGAATTTTCCAATTTTATAAAATGTAGATATTTCGATTTCTCTCAATTTTTCACTTTTTTGATGTTTCGATTTCTCTGTTATTTAGTTTTTTAGTTTAAATGTTTCAATTTTGAATTTTTCGAATACTCGATTTGTCGATCTTTTGAATTTTGACATTTCAGTTTTGAAATTTTCTAGTTTTTCGGTCCATTAACTCTTCGTTTTTTTTAAATTTCAGATTTTTCGACTTTTCAATTTCTAGTTTCTGTTTTTTTTTTAGTTTTTTGGTTAATTAAATTTTATATTTTCGATTTCTCAAATTTCAACATTTTATTTTAGGGATTTTTTCAGTTTCTGGATTTTGTCAATTTTTCGATATTTTCAATTTTAGATTTTTTTAATGTTTCGATTTCTCGATCTTTCATTTTCAAAGTCTTTGATTTTTCGGTTTTTCAATATTTCCATTTATCGTGCATTTTTAATTTGAAGCTTTCAATTTTGAATTTTTCGATTTCTCGATCTTTCGATTTGTCACTTTTAGATTTTTCGGTTTTTCAATCCTTCGATTTATATTTTTATTTTAGTTTATATTTCAATTTTGAATTTTTCAGTTTTGGGATTTTCTAGTTTTTCGATTCATTAACTCTTCGATTTTTTAATTTCAGAATTCTCGATTTCTCGGTTTCTAGTTTTCCTTTTTTGTTTTTAGTTTTTTGATTATTTAATTGTTACATTTTCGATTTCTCAATTTTCAACATTTCATTTTTAAAATCTTTAATTTTTCGAGATTTCTTGATTAGATTTTTCAATATTTCGATTCATCGTGTTTGTTTAATTTAAATGTTTCAATTTTGAATTTTTCAATTTGATAAAATTTAGATATTTCGATTTCTCCATGTTCCACTTTTTTGATGTTTCGATTTCTTTTTGTTTGTTTGAATGTTTCAATTTAGAATTTTTCGATTGTTCGAATTTGTAGATCTGTTGAGCTTTTGAATTTTGACATTTTAGTTTTGGGATTTTCTAATTTTTCGAATTTTTAACTCTTCGATGTTTTTTAAATTTCAGATTTTTCGACTTCTCCTTTTCTCCATTTCTAGTTTTTCAGGTTTTTTTAGTTTTTTAATTAATTAAATTTTACATTTTCTATGTTTCGATTTCTCGATCTTTCATTTTTAAAATCTTTGAATATTTGGATTTATTTTTTTTTTTAATTTAAAGGTTTCAATTTTGAATTTTTCGATTTTGGATTATTTCGATTTATCGATGTTTTCGATTGGACACTTAGATTTTTCAGATTTTCAATCTTTCGATTTATATAGGGGAGTATTTTTTTTAGTTTGTGTTTCAATTTTGAATTTTTCGATTTTTCGAATTCTCGATTTGTCGATCTTTTGAATTTTGACATTTCAGTTTTAGGATTTTCCAGTTTTTCCGATTTTTTAAATTTCAGAATTCTCGATTTCTCGGTTTCTAGTTTTCCTATTTTGTTTTTAGTTTTTTTGATTATTTAAATGTTACATTTTCAACATTTCTTTTAGGGAATTTTTCAATTTCTGGATGTTAATTTTTCGATATTTTCATTTTTTTGGTTTTTTAAATTTTAGATTTTAATACTCGTATTATAATATATTATTTTTTGATGTTTCGATTTCTCAATTTTTCATTTTTAAAATCTTTAATTTTTCGAAATTTCTTGTTTTTATTTTTCCATATTTCGATTTATCGTGTTCGTTTAATTTAAATGTTTTAATTTTGAATTTTTCAATTTTATAAAATTTAGATATTTCGATTTCCTCATTTTTCATTTCTTTGATGTTTCGATTTCTCTTTTTTTTGGTTTTTTAGTTTAAATGTTTCAATTTTTCGAATACTCGATTTGTCGATCTTTTGAATTTTGACACATCAGTTTTGGGATTGTCTAGTTTTTCGATTCTTTAAATCGTCGATTTTTTTTTAATTTCAGATTTTTAGATTTTTCAAAGTTTAGTTTTTCTGTTGATGATTTAAATTTTACATTTTCGATTTCTCAATTTTTCCATATTTTCATTTTTCAGTTTTTTCAAATTCATTAATTTTTTTTTATGTTTCGATTTCTCGATTTCTTGATCTTTTGATATTTCAAGTTCTCGCAAGTTTAAATGTTTCAATTCCGATTTCTGGATTTCTCGGTTTTTATGATTTTTTAGTTTTTCGATTTGTCAATGATTCACATTTCAATTTTTGGATTTTTTAATTTTTCAATACGATTTTCTTTTTGATATTTCATTTGCTGGATCTTTCAATGTTTCGTTTTTACAATTAGTAGATTTTTAAAATTTTAGATTTTTAAATTTCTTGATATTTTGATTTTTCGAAAAGCATTTTTCTCTTTGGTAGATAACCAGTTGACAATCATATCACCATTACACATTTTTTTTTTAATTTGATTACTATAATATTTTTCTCCTGTAGAGTTTTAAAGGAATCTATGAAAAGTGTAACAGGAGGAGGTGGGAGTCAAAACTTCTGTGACGTCACAAAAATATGAATGTGAACATTTAGTGTGCAAACTACTCATGGAATAAATTGACTGAAACAAGTCAATAACGTCATATGTATTTTTTTAATAGAAGGCTATATTTTTTATGTTATTTGTAGATAGCACCTTTGAGGACCTTTTCAAGGAACATTTCTACGCTCTATTTAAAGAGTTTAGACGATTTCAAACAAAGTTAGAAATACGTCAAAAGTTGCTTAATAAAACCAAAATTGGACCAATCTTAAATTTTCACTATAAACTATTGAAGATACAGATATCATGTTGGATGGAATTATGTTAAAGAAAACCATACACAGTCTGTCTTAAGACCAAAGAAGAACAATACAGAAGAAGAGATAAATACGGTACAAAAACCAGTAACTTTGTACAACAATAAACCTTTACCACTCACTTGTAAATGCGGGTAGGCTGTATTTTTATGTCCCTGTAACGCCATCACCAGATGCGGCTGTATCTGCCTCCTTAATGCGCTCAACATATCCTCTGTATCTGTACTTTCCACACAGGCTGGTCCTTTTTTCGGTGCTAAAACTAAACATTCCTGTATTACAATCATCACTCAATCGTAATGTTCTTATTACGCAACTTGAGACACCACCACACACTCGTGACGTATCACTTGCCATCAAACAAGCCCCACCCACCTTTAAACTGACTGTTAACTCCGCCTCCGTACTCCCTGCACTTGTCCTTCTCGTTCCTCGCCTCTGCCGCCTTGGGACGTCTACGTCTCGTGTGTATCGTGTCCCTCCGCATCGTGTGCGGCCTGTCTATGCCGTGGAGTTTGTAGTAGAGGCCGCACGCGTTGCACACCATCTCCCCTTTCATGTTCCGCCGCCATATCGTCGTGGTTTGTGTGCCGCAGTTCGTGCACGAGAGATCAACCCGTCGCGCCATTCCGGCGCCGCCTTTGCCGCCCTTCACGATCTGGAGGTTGCACCAGGGGCTGTTGCCCGTGAAGTCGGGGATGTAGTCCTCGCCGTCGTCTCGGCCGGGGCTTGAAGGAAAAAAAGCGGTTTTAGCGTCTACACTGATATACAGTTAATTTACATCACTATCGTTAAGGCACCCATATACGGACGCGCTATGCACCCATTTTTAAAAGATTCTTAATTGAGTCAAATGGTGAAAATTATTACAATTAAAAAAATCGCTAGTTGAGCTAACGTATATTGAGTGAGTGTACACTTGATCGCTTATCAGGCGTCCTGTACATTTGGCAACGCTGCTAAACAAATGAATACTATCACACTATTAATATTAATTCAACAATAAAAATGAAGTACAACCAAAACTTATGGGTGCTTTTAAGGGCTGGAAATAGCCATGGTACACTAGAGCGGCACAAGGGGTCCCTGAAATACTTTCAAACAACTTCAAAAACAAAATACAAGGGGTTCACGGGATTGTTTAAAACTACATCCAAAACAAATGGGGTCCCTGAGGCTCTTTCAAATTACTTCAAAAACAAAACACGAGCGGTCTTCAAGATTCTTACAAATTACTTCAAAAACAAAATAAAAGGGGTCCCAAGATTCTTTCAAACTACTTCAAAAACAAAACAAATGAGAGTTCTCGAAATTCTTTCAAATTACTTCAAAAACCAGACTCAAGTGGTACCCGAGATTCTTTCAAGCTATTTCAAAAACAATACCAAAGGGGTCCCCGAGATTCTTTTAACAACTTCAAAAACAAAATAAAAGGGGTTCCCGGGATTGATTAAAACTACTTCAAAAACAAATGCCGTCCCTGAGATTCTTACAAATTACTTCAAAAACAAAATAAAAAGGGTCCCAAGTTTCTTTCAAACTACTTCAAAAACAAAACAAATGAGAGTTCCCGAAATTCTTTCAAATTACTTCAAAAACCAGACTAAAGTGGCACCCTAGATTCTTTCAAGCTATTTCAAAAACAATACAAAAGGGGTCGCCGAGATTCTTTTAACAACTTCAAAAACAAAATACAAGGGGTTCCCGCGATTGTTTAAAACTACTTCAAAAACAAAACAATTGAGAGTTCCCGAAATTCTTTCAAATTACTTCAAAAACCAGACTCAAGTGGTACCCGAGATTCTTTCAAGCTATTTCAAAAACAATACAAAAGGGATCCCGGAGATTCTTTAACAACTTCAAAAACATATGGGTTCCCGGAGGCTCTTTCAAAATACTTCAAAAACAAAACACGAGTGGGCCTCAAGATTCTTACAAATTACTTCAAAAACAAAATAAAAGGGATTCCAAGATTCTTTCAAACTACTTCAAAAATAAAACAAATGAGAGTTCCCGAAATTCTTTCAAATTACTTCAAAAACCAGACTCAAGTGGTACCCGAGATTCTTTCAAGCTATTTAAAAAACAATACAAAAGGGATCCCCGAGATTCTTTTAACAACTTCAAAAACAAAATACAAGAGGTTCCCGGGGATTGTTTAAAACTGGTCCTCGAGATTCTTACAAATTACTTCAAAAACAAAATAAAAGGGGTCCCAAGATTCTTTCAAACTACTTCAAAAATAAAACAAATGAGAGTTCCCGAAATTTTTTCAAATTACTTCAAAAACCAGACTCAAGTGGTACCCGAGATTCTTTCAAGCTATTTCAAAAACAATACAAAAGGGGTCTCCGAGATTCTTTTAACAACTTCAAAAACAAAATACAAGGGGTTCCCGGGATTGTTAAAAACTACTTCAAAAACAAATGGGGTCCCTGAAACTCTTTCAAACTACTTCAAAAACAAAATAAAAGTGGTCCTAAGATTCTTTCAAACTACTTCAAAAATAAAACAAATGAGAGTTCCCGAAATTCTTTCAAATTACTTCAAAAACCAAACTCAAGTTGTACCCAAGATTCTTTCAAGCTATTTCAAAAACAATACAAAAGGGGTCCCCGAGATTCTTTTAACAACTTCAAAAACAAATGGGTTCCCGGAGACTCTTTCAAAATACTTCAAAAACAAAACACGAGTGGGCCTCAAGATTCTTTCCAATTACTTCAAAAACCAGACTCAAGTGGTACCCGAGATTCTTTCAAGCTATTTCAAAAACAATACAAAAGGGATCCCCGAGATTCTTTTAACAACTTCAAAAACAAAATACAAGAGGTTCCCGGGATTGTTTAAAACTACTTCAAAAACAAAACACGAGTGGTCCTCAAGATTCTTACAAATTGCTTCAAAAACAAAATAAAAGTGGTCCCAAGATTCTTTCAAACTACTTCAAAAATAAAACAAATGAGAGTTCCCGAAATTCTTTCAAATTACTTCAAAAACCAGACTCAAGTGGTACCCGAGATTCTTTCAAGCTATTTCAAAAACAATACAAAAGGGATCCCGGAGATTCTTTAACAACTTCAAAAACATATGGGTTCCCGGAGGCTCTTTCAAAATACTTCAAAAACAAAACACGAGTGGGCCTCAAGATTCTTACAAATTACTTCAAAAACAAAATAAAAGGGATTCCAAGATTCTTTCAAACTACTTCAAAAATAAAACAAATGAGAGTTCCCGAAATTCTTTCAAATTACTTCAAAAACCAGACTCAAGTGGTACCCGAGATTCTTTCAAGCTATTTAAAAAACAATACAAAAGGGATCCCCGAGATTCTTTTAACAACTTCAAAAACAAAATACAAGAGGTTCCCGGGGATTGTTTAAAACTGGTCCTCGAGATTCTTACAAATTACTTCAAAAACAAAATAAAAGGGGTCCCAAGATTCTTTCAAACTACTTCAAAAATAAAACAAATGAGAGTTCCCGAAATTTTTTCAAATTACTTCAAAAACCAGACTCAAGTGGTACCCGAGATTCTTTCAAGCTATTTCAAAAACAATACAAAAGGGGTCTCCGAGATTCTTTTAACAACTTCAAAAACAAAATACAAGGGGTTCCCGGGATTGTTAAAAACTACTTCAAAAACAAATGGGGTCCCTGAAACTCTTTCAAACTACTTCAAAAACAAAATAAAAGTGGTCCTAAGATTCTTTCAAACTACTTCAAAAATAAAACAAATGAGAGTTCCCGAAATTCTTTCAAATTACTTCAAAAACCAAACTCAAGTTGTACCCAAGATTCTTTCAAGCTATTTCAAAAACAATACAAAAGGGGTCCCCGAGATTCTTTTAACAACTTCAAAAACAAATGGGTTCCCGGAGACTCTTTCAAAATACTTCAAAAACAAAACACGAGTGGGCCTCAAGATTCTTTCCAATTACTTCAAAAACCAGACTCAAGTGGTACCCGAGATTCTTTCAAGCTATTTCAAAAACAATACAAAAGGGATCCCCGAGATTCTTTTAACAACTTCAAAAACAAAATACAAGAGGTTCCCGGGATTGTTTAAAACTACTTCAAAAACAAATGGCGTCAATGAGACTCTTTCAAACTACTTCAAAAACAAAACACGAGTGGTCCTCGAGATTCTTACAAATTAGTTCAAAAACAAAATAAAAGGGGTTCCTAGTTTCTTTCAAACTACTTCAAAAACAAAACAAATGAGAGTTCCCGAAATTCTTACAAATTACTTCAAAAACGAGACTCAAGTAGTACCCGAGATTCTTTCAAGCTATTTCAAAAACAATACAAAAGGGGTCACCGAGATTCTTTTAACAACTTCTAAAACAAAATACACGGGGTTCCCAGGATTGTTTAAAACTACTTCAAAAATAAATGGGGTCCCTAAGACTCTTTCAAACTACTTCAAAAACAAAACACGAGTGGTCCTCAAGATTCTTACAAATTACTTCAAAAACAAAATAAAAGAGGTCCAAGATTCTTTCAAACTACTTCAAAAACAAAACAAATTAGAGTTACCGAAATTCTTTCAAATTACTTCAAAAACCAGACTCAAGCGGTACCCGAGATTCTTTCAAGCTATTTCAAAAACAATACAAAAGGGGTCACCGAGATTCTTTTAACAACTTCAAAAACAAAATACAAGGGGTTCCCGGGATTGTTTAAAACTACTTCAAAAACAAATGGGGTCCTTGAGACTCTTTCAAACTACTTCAAAAACAAAACACGAGTGGTCTTCAAGATTCTTACAAATTACTTCAAAAACAAAATAAAAGGGGTCCCAAGATTCTTTCAAACTACTTCAAAAACAAAACAAATGAGAGTTCCCGAAATTCTTTCAAATTACTTCAAAAACCTGACTCGAGTGGTACCCGAGATTCTTTCAAGCTATTTCAAACACAATACAAAAGGGGTCCCCGAGATTCTTCTAACAACTTCAAAAACAAAATACAAGGGGTTCCCGGGATTGTTTAAAACTACTTCAAAAACTAATGGAGTCCCTGAGACTCTTTCAAACTACTTCAAAAACAAAACACGAGTGGTCCTCAAGATTCCTACAAATTACTTCAAGAACAAAATAAAAGTGGTCCCAAGATTCTTTCAAACTACTTCAAAAACAAAACAAATGAGAGCTCCCGAAATTCTTTCAATTTACTTCAAAAACCAGACCCAAGTGGTACCCGAGATTCTTTCAAGCTATTTCAAAAACAATACAAAAGGGGTCCTCGAGATTCTTTTAACAACTTTAAAAACAAAATACAAGGGGTTTCCGGGATTGTTTAAAACTACTTCAAAAACAAATGGGGTCCCTGAGACTCTTTCAAACTACTTCAAAAATAAAACACGAGTGGGCCTCGAGATTCTTACAAATTATTTCAAAAACAAAATAAAAGGGATCCCAAGATTCTTTCAAACTACTTCAAAAACAAAACAAATGAGAGTTCCCCAAATTCTTTCAAATTACTTCAAAAACCAGACTCAAGTGGTACCCGAGATTCTTTCAAGCTATTTCAAAAACAATACAAAAGGGGTCCTCGAGATTCTTTTAACAACTTCAAAAACAAAATACAAGGGGTTCCCGGGATTGTTTAAAACTACTTCAAAAACAAATAGGGTCCCTGAGATTCTTTCAAACCACTTCAAAAACAAAACAAATGAGAGTTCCCGAAATTCTTTCAAATTACTTCAAAAACCAGACTCAAGTGGTACCCGAGATTCCTTCAAGCTATTTCAAAAACAATACAAAAGGGGTCCCCGAGATTCTTTCAAACCACTTCACACAATCCATTGTAGGCTTCATTATACCCTAAATTTATAACCTTACAGAATTTGGAACACTATGTAAGATGTGTGTATGTATATTTTAGTACTAAAATCCACCCAGTCTAATTTTTGACCTGACTTGAGCTGAGTTGACCTGATAACCTTACAGAATTTTGGAAATTATTATAGTTTTCGGTGAAAATCCACCCAGTCCATCTGTTTACCTCGAGTCCTCGACCGACGCTTTGGTAGGGTAACTCTGTTTTCTGCGCCCCGTCGACGGCTTGGGGTGAGTTTCCATGTTCAGAGGCTCGTTCGGCGAATGCACTCTCTTGTCCAGGTGTACGAAGGGGGGCGCCGGGGTGATGCTCATCCCCAGTTTCCGACACGTGATCAGCTTCCTCAGGAGCTGACTCGCCTCCCCGCTCAGGGGCATGTTCGCGTTATAGCCGTTGTGTGACAGCGCCCTCCAGAGATTCGCGTCCTCCTCGGGCGGCACGTTGTCGGGGATAGGAGAGGTGGCGCTGGCTGTCGTCGAGTTCGAGTGTTCCTCCGCGCCCTGAAAAATGACTGGTTGTCTATAGTGTTCCAAGGCGAAATTAACTACACTCAATCTATAATCCCTGTATTTTCACCATTGATTAAATGTATGTAGATGGCTCCGTTAAAAATTCAAATATGATCCGAAAGAAAAAGGTGGGCTTTCTATTAAAAAAATTGGTCTAAGGTTATTTCGACAGAACTTTCCTCGCCCCTGAACTATAACTCAACAAATCCCGCTTCTTCAAAAGATGATAAACATTTTTTGTGATTTTTGTTTTATGATAACGTCTATAAAGTAAAAACCAGTTGCGTAAATGACACAATTTTTCAAGTTTTTAGGTTTAAATTTATCAGTTTTTCAATTTTCCAACTTTTGAACTTTTCAATTTTTCGTTTCGGTTTTTTATTTTCTTTATTTTTTAGTTATGTATTCCATTTTCCAATATTTCGATTTTATAATTTGTTTCTTCAATTTTTAGATATTGTGATTTTTCGATTCTTTAATTTTACATTTCTTCAAATTTTCGATTAGCAATTGCTCAATTTTTCAGTTTTTTTTCTTAATTTTTCCGGTATGCATCTCTTCGAGTTTTTATTTTTAAATTTTGCAACTTTTCGTTTCGGTTTTTTATTTTCTTTATTTTTTCAATTTTTCGGTCTTCAACTTCAGATTTGCATATTTATCATTTTAAATATTAACTAAAAATTATGATTTAAATTTTTTTTGTCTTTTCAAATTTTTACACTTTTCTGTTATTGGATTTCAAGACTTTCATTTGTTTGGTGTTTCAATTCTTCAGTATTTAATTTTTCCATTTTTCGATCCTCGAATGTTATTTTTTAGATTTTACAATTTTTCTATTCGAGTCGTTTTTCTACTTTCCAATTTTTCAATTTTTTTATTTTACATTTCTTCAAATTTTCGATTTGAAATTGTTAGTTCAGGTTTTTATTTTCTTTATTTTTACAATTTTTCGATTTTCAATGTTCCGATTTTTTTCAAGTTTTCTTTTCTTCAATTTTTCGATTTGAAATTTTTCATTTATTTTTGTTTCTTCAAAATTACGACATGCAGCTCTTCGAGTTTTTATTTTAAATTTTTCATTTTTGCCATTTTTCAATTTTTTAATTTTTTGTTTCTCAATTTGAATTTTTTGAATTCTTCGTTTTTTCAATTTTAAGATATGCAACTCAAGTTTTCATTTTAGAACTTCCCGTTTTCCAACTTTGGACGTTCTTATTTGAAGTTTTACGGTTGTCAACTATTAATTTTTAAACTATTAGATTTTTGAATATTTGATTTTTTCAACGTTAAATTTTTGATTTGCAATTTTTCTAATTTTTGATTTTAAATATCTAACAATTATTATAGTTTTTAACATTTTTCACTTTTACAATTTTACGATTTTAGAATTTTTTCAATTTTCAATTATTAGATTTTAAGGCTTTTCATTCGATTTTTAATTTTTCAATTTCTCGATCTTTCAATGTTACAGTCTTTCGACATTACAATTTTGATGATTCTATAATTTTTCGATTTGATTCGTTTTTTCTATTTTCCAATTTTTTGTATTTTCTCGATTTTTAATTTATCAATGTTTCGATTTTATAATTTTTTGTTTCTTCGATTTTCATTTAAAAAATTTTTCATTTCTTCGATTCTTACTTTTTGCAATTTTTCGATTAAAAATTTCTCGAGTTTTCAATTTTTATTTTTCCAATTTTTAATTTCTTCAAATTTTAGATTTTCCAATGTTTGATATTCAATTTTTTTATTTCGTTATTTCAGTTTTTTCAATTCTTCAATTTTTCGATTTGGAATTTTTCACTTTTTTTGTTATTTAAATTTTACGATATCCAACTACAGTTTTCATTTTTAAATTTTTCAGTTATCCGATTTGACAAATTTCGGATGTTTCAATTATTTTTAGATTTTGCAATTTTTTTTGATTTTTCAATTTTTCATTTCTTAAATTTTCGTTTTGGTTTTCATTTTTTTTATTTTTTCAATTTTTCGGAGTTTCAATGTTCTTATTGTATATTTTTTTTATTCAATGTTAAATTTCTCAGTTTCTCAATTTTTCAATCTTTCGTTTCTTTAATTTTTGAATAGAAATTTTTCTAGTTTCATTTTCATACATATCCAATAATTGTTATTATAATTTTTAAAATATTTAATTTTTTCAATGTTTCTCTCGATTTTATTTAATCAATTTTTCAATTTTTCAATGTTACTTATGATTTTCCAAATTTTGGAATTTCCAAATTTTCGACTTTTAAGTTTTTCTTGCCTCCAATTTTTTGGTTTTTCCATGTTCTGACTTTATATATATATATTTTTCAATGCGATTTTTTTTAATTGTCCGTTTTTTCAGTTTCTCGATTTAGAAATTTTTCGTTTCTTCAATTTTCGATCTGCAATTTTTCTAGTTTCCATTTTAAATATGCATAATAATTATAATTTTTAAAATGTTCCACTTTTCCAGTTTTGTAATTTTTTCAATTCTTCGTTTCTTCAATTTTTAGATTTGCAATTTTTCAGTTATTCGATTTTCGAACTTTCGATGTTTTAATTTTTTGGATTTTGCAATTTTTTGATTTCTTTATTTTTTCAATTTTTCCGATTTTCAATGTTCTGATTTGCAGATTTTGGGTTGTCAACTTTTAATAATTTTTACCATTATTTTTTTAATTTTTCGCTTTTTCAATGTTAAATCTTTAAGTTTCTCAATTTTCCAATTTTATGGTTCTTTAATTTTTGATTTGCAATTTTTCTAGTTTTCATTTGAAATATCTATCTAATAATCATTAGTTTTTAACATTTTTCACTTTTTCAATTTTACGACTTTATAATTTTTCCATTAAGACTTTTTATCCATTTTTTGATATTTCAATTATAGTCTTTCGACTTTACAATTTTGACGATTCTATAATTCTTTGATTTTACAATTTTTGTTTTTTTTTTTTATAGTTTTTCGATTCGATTTTCATTCTTAAAATTTTTCATTTCTTCAATTCTTACATTTTTGCAATTTTTTGATTAAAAATTTCACGAGTCAATTTTTAACTTTCCAATTTGTAATTTCTGCAATTTTCGATTTGGAATTTTTCAATTTTTCACTGTTACTTAAATTTTACGATAACAAACTCCAGTTTTCATTTTAAAATTTTTCATTCAATTTTTTTTATTTTGCATTTTTTTATTTTTCAATTTTTCATTTCTTAAATTTTTCGTTTCGGTGTTTTATTTTCTTTATATTTTCAATTTTTCGGAGTTTCAATGTTCCTATTATACAATTTTTCTTTCACAGTTTCTCAATTTTTCAATCTTTCGTTCCTTTAATTTTTGAGTCGAAATTTCTCTAGTTTAATTATTATAATTTTTAAAATATTACACTTTTTCATTTTTCGATTCATTCTTTTCTTTGATTTTTAAGTTCCTGTATTTTTTGTATTTCAATTTTGCAGGTTTTGAATTTTTCAATGTTCCGATTTCTCAAGTTTTTAATGTTGGGTTTTTTCAATTTATTTATTTTTATAATTTTCTGATTTTTCAATGTTAAGATTTTATATTTTTGGTTTTTAGATTTTCCAATTTTTGATTTTTTAATTGTCCGCTGTTTCAGTTTCTCGATTTAGAAATTTTTCGTTTCTTCAATTTTGCATAATTACAATTTTTAATTTGTTTTACTTTTTCAATTTTACTATTTTAGAAATCTTCCCGTTTTTCAGTAGACAGTTAGATTTAAATTTTTTTAGTTTATTCGACTTGCAATTTTTCGCTTGTTCAGTTTTTGGTTTTTTCAACTCTTCGAACCAAAAAAATGGAAAAAAAGCAAAATTGTATAACTGAAAAATCTAAAAATTTAAAATCAAGAGTTTGAACAACTGCAGAAAGGAAACATTAAAAAATTAAAAGATTAGAATTGAGAAACTTACAAATCGAAAAAACAAAATTTGTATTGAAATATGGAAATATTGAAAATTAAGGAAATCGGAAAATTTTCTAACTGGAAATCCAAAAATTTCAAAAGTAAATGTTTAAAAATTGAAAAACCGAGGAGCAAAAAAATCTAAAATTGAAAAATAAAGAAAATGAATAAACGAAAAATTTATATAAAATCGAGTAAATGAAAATTAAAAAATCGGTTAAATGAAAAATAAAAATCAAGAACTTGAAAACTTGAGGAAACGAAAGAATGAAAAACGTAAAATTGTGATATCAAAAAATTGGCTGAAGGTAAATGAATCCAGATTTTTCCAAAAATTGTAAGATTGGATTTTGCCAAGAATTTTATTGTTTTATGACTCCATATTTCAGAGAGATTTATTGGGCAAAATTCTGAAATGACGTCATCAATTTTTCGGGAAGGGACAAAGGAATAAATTTTTCTCAACGATTTAGCATGCTTACCATAACCTTAAAATGCAAAATGTTATTACACAATTTTGATTTTTTTTCCAAAAACCTGGGTGAAAACTCAACACGGATTCAAAATTAAAGGAACGAAAGATTGAAAAATTGAGAAACTGTGAAAGAAAAATTGTATAATAGGAACATTGAAACTCCGAAAAATTGAAAATATAAAGAAAATAAAACACCGAAACGAAAAATTTAAGAAATGAAAAATTGAAAAATAAAAAAAAATTTAATGAAAAATTTTAAAATGAAAACTGGAGTTTGTTATCGTAAAATTTAAGTAACAGTGAAAAATTGAAAAATTCCAAATCGAAAATTGCAGAAATTACAAATTGGAAAGTTAAAAATTGACTCGTGAATTGAATTTTAAGAATGAAAATCGAATCGCAAAACTATAAAAAAACCCAAAAATTGTAAAATCAAAGAATTATAGAATCGTCAAAATCGTGAAGTCGAAAGAATATAATTGAAAGATCAAAAAATGGATAAAAAGTCTTAAAATTAATAATTGAAAAATGGAAAAATTATAAAATCGTAAAATTGAAATGTGAAAAATGTTAAAAACTAATAATTGTTAGATAGATATTTCAAATGAAAACTAGAAAAATTGCAAATCAAAAATTAAAGAACCATAAAATTGGAAAATTGAGAAACTCAAAAATTTAACATTGAAAAAGCGAAAAATTAAAAAAATAATGGTAAAAATTATTAAAAGTTGACAACCCAAAAACTGCAAATCAGAACATTGAAAATCGGAAAAATTGAAAAAATAAAGAAATCAAAAAATTGAAACATCGAAAGTTCGAAAATCGGATAACTGAAAAATTGCAAATCTAAAAATTGAAGAAACGAAGAATTGAAAAAATTACAAAACTGGAAAAGTGAAACATTTTAAAAATTATAATTATTATGCATATTTAAAATGGAAACTAGAAAAATTGCAGATCGAAAATTGAAGAAACAAAAAATGTCTAAATCGAGAAACTGAAAAAACGGACAATTAAAAAATCAAAAAGTTGCAAAATCGAAAAATTAAAAAAAATCGCATTGCAAAAAAATTATATATAAAGTCAGAACATAGAAAAACCGAAAAATTGGAGACAAGAAAAACTTAAAAGTCGAAAATTTGGAAGAAACGTAAAACTGAAAAAATTTAAATTTAAAAAACAAAAAATTATAAAATCGCAATATTGAAAAATTGAATAGTTGAAAAAATAACCAAAATAAAAAACCGAAACGAAAAATTGAAAATTTCAAAACTTGGGAAATTGAAAAACTAAAAATCCAGAAACCTAAAAATCGAAAAAAATTAATGAATCGAAAAATTGGAAAAGTCAAAAATTGAAAAACCGAGGAGCAAAAAATCTAAAATCGAAAATTTTGAAAAACTGATTAAATGAGAACTCATAAAATCGAGAGAAACATTGAAAAAATGAAATATTTTAAAAATTATAATAACAATTATTGGATATGTATGAAAATGGAACTAGAAAAATTTCTATTCAAAAATTAAAGAAACGAAAGATTGAAAAATTGAGAAACTGAGAAATTTAACATTGAATAAAAAAAAATTATATAATAAGAACATTGAAACTCCGAAAAATTTTTTAATAAAAAACTCTTTAATTTTTTCTTAAAAAATAGTTAAGTCTAAATTTTTACTATTTGGAAGCCTATTATAAAATTTATAAAATAAGATGCTCCTGCACTTGTGGTGTAGGAGCATCTTATTTTATAAAAATTATGGAATATATTATGGAATTAAATTTTATGATAAGCTTCCAAATAGTAAAAATTTAGACTTAACTATTTTTTAAGAAAAAATTAAAGAGTTTTTTATTAAATAGGGCATATTATGCACGTGAAGAGTTCATCAATGATGTCGGTCTAGCGGACAGACGCTAGACCGACAGACAGACGGAAACTTAGCTTACACTCAGCAACAAAAATCGTTAAATTACGAATTTTGTGCTCACCTGCGACATGTCCACTTCCAGCCGCTCGGGGTCCGAGCTATTGCTATACTCCGAGGCGTTGTCGTTGGCTTCCTCCTTGATGAAGTCGATCTCTGGTACGCAGGTGAGGCTTTCGGGCTTCTTGTTCGAGAGGTCCGCGGGCTGGTTCGGGCAAGGTTCTATCTGCATGGCGCCCTCGGCGAAATTCGGCGCTATCGACGGCGAGGGAACGTCGATGGGCTCGCTTTCCGGGGGGTATCTCAGGTCTGTAGGTTCGTTTTTGTGCGATTTTTGGTCCTCTATCGACGACTCCAGGTCGGTCTTTAGGCTGATTGTAATACTGTTGGGTGTAGTGATCGAGGAGGCGTTGAGCAGGGAGTCGAGGATCGCGTTCGACCGCCTCATCCTTTCCTGGAAGAACACAAACGATGAGACGACGGGATTAAAAATTCAAAAATTAACAAAATCACCACGAAAATGAATTAGTCCGGTCTGAAAAAGCGACTTAATTATTGAATGTATAATTAAGAGGTCATAAATAAATCAACGGAATGATAAAAACTTGTTTTAATTGACACAGTTATGCAATTTGTAATGTAAATAAACTCATTTGTGGAAATAATCATGCTTGGAACAAGTATGGTTGGTCTAGGTCCATATCAAAGGATTCCGGACCAAATGTCGCTCGGTTCACACAATTAGCGATAATAGTCGAAAGTTATTTACATTCACGGGCGGAAGAATTATAAAACAAATCGTTTATCATGCGAAATTTTCGATATTTAAAGCGATTCTTTTAATGGCATGCTTTCAACTTGTATTAATTAGAATTTAGTGTCGACATGATTGTGTTGTACTTCATGGTAAATTCATTGAACTGCACATATGTTCAATTTAGAGTTCAACGTCGTACAAAGACTGACACGAACGCCGAGATTACTCTGGAAACGAGAGAGTTCTCGTAACGGAATGCTCGGTATAATATTATTATAAAATTGCATTTATAGGAATAAAATTAACTAGAAAAAGTGTCATAATATTTTTGACACTAGATTTACCAGAATATTACAAGCCGCTTACTGTTTCCTTCACTTTAATTCAGATCACACGAATTACAGTTCGTCGTCTGAGAACTTGTTTGATCTACGGACCAGAGCGCACTCAGGCCAATGTCGACTCTAAGCGTCCGGAAACGACTTGATTTAAAGACATGATCCGTGATTTGATACATATCCTAACCGGTTTCGACCATAATTTCTTGCTTTAGTTGGGGGACTTTTCAGTTTACACCTATTTATTCTATTTTTGAATTTTACAATTTCTCAATTTTTCAATTTCTCGGTTTTTAGATTTTCTCTGCAATTTTACTATTTTTAAATATTTCGATTTTTCAATTTTTGACTTTTATAAACTCTTTATTCGTCGACTTTTCAATTTTTTAATTTCTGAGTTTTTGGACATTTCAGTTTTGGGATTTTTCAGTTTACTTGTTATTCAATTTTTCGATCATACAATTATGCAGGTTTTTGATTTTTTTAAGATTTCGATATTTCGACTTCACTTTATTGATTTTCAATTTTTCGATTCTTTAGATTCTCAGATTTTGGATGTTCCAGTTTTGGGATTTTTGAGTTTTTCGATATTTCAGATTTGGGAGTTTTCAATATTTCTGTTCCTCGACTTTTCCATTTTTGACTTCTGGATTTCTCGATGTGTCGACTTTTTATTTTTTCGATTTTTAAATTTTGGATATCTCAATTTTTTGGTGTTTTAGTTTTTCAATATTTAAAATTTTAGATTGTTCGATTTCTCGATTCTTCATTTCATCTCTTCCATATTGCAATTTTTCAAATGTTTCGATTTCTTAATCTTTCGATTTTTCGACTTCCTGGTTTTAGATTTTCTGCTTTTCAATTGTCGTTTTTTCAAATTTTCGATTTTACAATTTTTCAAATTTGACGTTTATAAACTGTCAATTTTTCGATTTTTCAATTAATCGATGTTTCGATTTTCCCATTTGTTGACTTTCGAGGGTTTCGATATTCCTGTTCTTCAATTCTTTAAGTTTTCGATTTTTCAGGTTTTTGATTTTTTATTTTTTTAATTTTTTTAAAGGTTTTTTTGCAGCTTCTTTTTGGATTTTTCTATTGCCCAATTTTTCGACTTTTTAGATTCTCCAGTTTTTGGATATTTCAGTTTTCGGATTTTTTAGGTTTTCCATTTTTCAGTTTTTCGATATTTCAGTTTTGGGATTTTTCAATATTTTAATTCTTCTACTTTCCCATTTTTGGCTTCTGGAGTTTTCGATGTGTCGATTTTTCGACTTCCCGGTTTTAGATTTTCTGTTTTCAATTGTCGTTTTAAATTTTTCGATTTTTCAATGTTTTGATTTCCCGATTTAGTTTCCCAGTTTTAGTTTTTCTTTCATTTTTCAGTTTTGGGATTTTTCAATGTTCTTCGACTTTTCCATTTTTGACTTCTGGATTTTTCGATGTGTCGACTTTTTATTTTTTCGATTTTTAAATTTTGGATATTTCAATTTTTTGGTATTTTAGTTTTTCAATATTTAAAATTTTAGATTGTTCGATGTTTCGATTCTTCATTTTATCTCTTCCATATTGCAATTTTTCAAATGTTTCGATTTCTTAATCTTTCGATTTTTCGACTTCCTGGTTTTAGATTTTCTGCTTTTCAATTGTGGTTCATCTTTTGATTTTCCCATTTGTTGACTTTCGAGGGTTTCGATATTCCTGTTCTTCAATTCTTTAAGTTTTCGATTTTTCAGGTTTTTGATTTTTTATTTTTTTAAGTTTTTTTTTTGCAGCTTCTTTTTGGATTTTTCTATTGCCCAATTTTTCGACTTTTTAGATTCTCCAGTTTTTGGATATTTCAGTTTTCGAATTTTTCAGTTTTGGGATTTTTCAATATTTTAATTCTTCTACTTTCGATTTTTGGCTTCTGGAGTTTTCGATGTGTCGATTTTTTTACTTTTTCGATTTTTCAATTTTTCGATTTCTTAATCTTTCGATTTTTCGACTTCCCGGTTTTAGATTTTCTGTTTTCAATTGTCGTTTTAAATTTTTCGATTTTTCAATGTTTTGATTTCCGGATTTAGTTTCCCAGTTTTAGTTTTTCTTTCATTTTTCAGTTTTTCGATATTTCAGTTTTGGGATTTTTCAATATTTCGATTCTTCGACTTTTTCCTTTTTTGATTTTTAAATTTTAGAATTCTCGATTTTTCATTTCAGCTCTTCCACATTTCAATTTTTCAAATGTTTCGATTTCTTAATCTTTCGATTTTTCGACTTCCCGGTTTTAGATTTTCTGTTTTTCAATTGTCGTTTTTTCAATTTTTCAATTTTTAAATTTTAGATTTATCGGTTTTTTGATATTCTAATTTTTCAATATTTAAAATTTTAGATTTTTCCATTTCTCGATTTTTCATTTCAGTTCTTCGATATTTCAGTTTTTCAATTGTCGTTTTTAAAATTTTCGATTTTTCAATTAATCGATGTTTTGATTTTCACATTTCTTGACTTTCGAGGGTTTCGATATTCCTGTTCTCCGATTCTTCAATTTTTCAGGTTTTTGAGTTTTTTATTTTTTTAAAGTTTCAATTTTTCGGCTTCACTTTTTGGATTTTTTTATTGCTCAATTTTTCGACTTTTTAGGGTCTCAGTTTTTGGATATTTCAGTTTTCGGATTTTCCAGGTTTTCCATTTTTCAGTTTTTCTTTCATTTTTCAGTTTTGGGATTTTTCAATATTTTTATTCTTCTACTTTTCGATTTTTGGCTTCTGGAGTTTTCGATGTGTCGATTTTTTTACTTTTTCGATTGCTTAATCTTTCGGTTTTTCGATTTCCCGGTTTTAGATTTTCTGTTTTCAATTGTCGTTTTAAATTTTTTGATTTTTCAATGTTTTAATTTCCCGGCTTAGTTTCCCATTTTTATTTTTCTTTCATTTTTCAGTTTTTCGATATTTCAGTTTTGGGTCGATTAAATTTTTGATTTTTTTTTAATTTTATATTTTTCGATTTCTGGATTTTTCATTTCAGTTCTTCGATATTTCAATTTTTTCTAAGTTTTCGAATTTTTCAAATGTTTCGATTTCTTAATGTTTTGATTTTTCGACTTCCCGGTTTTAGATTTTCTGTTTTTCAATTGCCATTTTGTCAAATTTTCGATTTTTCAATTAATCGATGTTTTGATTTTCCCATTTCTTGATCTTCGAGTATTTCGATTTTCCTGTTCTTCAATTCTTTAATTTTTTTATTTTTCAGGTTTTTGATTTTTCAATTTTTCGATTTTTTATGGTTTCTATTTTTCGGCTTCACTTTTTTGATTTTTCGATTTTTCAGTTTTTAGATATTTTAGTTTTAGGATTTTTCAACATTTCAATTCTTCGGCATTTCTATTTTTGACTTCGGGATTTTTCGATGTGTACATTTTTACTTTTTCAATTTTTCAATTTTTGGATTTTTAAATTTTAGGTTTTTCAATCTTTTGATATTTTAAATTTTCAATACTTCTTAATCTTTCGATTTTTCGACTTCCTGGTTTTAGATGTTCTGTTTTTCAATTTTTCGGTTTGTTAATTTTTCATCCCCGATTTATCGAGATTTGATTGTTCAGGTTTTCGATTTATAAGTTTTTCTATTTTTTATTTTGGTCTATTTCGGTTTCTCAGTTTTTCCAGTTTTTCAATTTTTCGTTTTTTGATTTTTCCGCTTTTTCTAATTTTTCAATTTTTAACTTTTTGTTTGTCGATTTCTCTATTTTTCGATTTTTCGAATTTTTAAGTTTTTTGATTTCTCGATTTATCGAGATTCGGATTTTTCGATATATTGATTGTCAATTTCTCAATTTATAAATTGTTCAATTTTTAACTTTCCGATTTTTCGATTTCTGGGTTTTTCGATTTTCCAGTTTTTACAGTAGTGAGAAATAGGAAGAGAATAATATATTTCATTTAATATACTAAATTTAAATATCAAATTAAACAAATGCAATAAACTGTCTATAAAATTAATAAATCAATGTAAATTAAACAGTTCTTGAGAAAAATTTAAACAAATTAAAAATTTTTCAAAATAATGTATTGTTACGAAATAAACCCATACGCCGCCCCGGTACGACGCCTATGGGTCGTCGAGAGCTTCCTCGACTGTACGGCGATGATGACTCATTATCGGTGACATCGGCCGGAGAAGAGCCTGGAAGCGGAAGTCGCAAATGGGTGCTCCAGACAAGTCTAGAAGCTGTCAGGATGGGCGAGGGGCGTTCTCGATCCATCGAGACAAACGTATAGGTTTAAATAGAGGCCAATGAATGTTGCGCCGGAATTATTTTGTACATAATCGGTGTGTAAATTCGAGTTTTTACGAAATAAATTGCTGAGTTTTAACCACGTCGATTTTTGATCACCGGTCATCGTTCACTGTATTAAAACGAATTCTGTTCGAATGATAAGCTTGTTTATAAATCTTGTGTCAATTTTGTTTACTCTCCCACAAATAATCGAGAAAAATTAAAAAATAATCATAACAACGTTCTAAAAAAATATTAGATAATACAGGAAAATTGTCGTTTGGAATAATTTGTCTTGTCAAATAATCCAGAAATAATCCAGAAAGTTCAAATAATTTTCCACAAAAAGATTGAAGTAGTTTCTAATCGAAAAAAAAAACTAGCTGAAAGAAAATTAATCGGAAATTATTAATATGAAGCTATTCTTATTTGGTGTCCCCAAATAACAAAAAAAAAGTATGAAAATACGACTGCGAAATCATTTTTGCTCTACCTTTTCCAATCACCGAGAAAAATAAAAATAATTTTCAAAATTTCCCCAAAAAATTGAGAAATCGACAACTTGAAAAATCGAAAAACGAAAATGTCAAGAAACCGAATCATCAAAAGATCGTAAAATCCAAAAATCGAAAATTTAAAAGTCGAAAAATGGAATAATCAAAAAACTGAAAAATCAAAATTTTAAAAATTGCAATAATCGAAAAATAAACGTAACGAAGAACTGAAAAATCGAAACGGTAAAAAATTGGAAACTTGAAAAAAAAAATATATAAAATCTGAAAATCGAAAAACTGAAACATCGAGAAATTGAAAAATTAAACCTGAAAAATTGATAATTAAAAATTAAAATACATTGAAAAATCTAAGCTTAAAAAAGTAGATAAATCGAAAAGTTGAAAAATCAAAAAACCGAAATATCTAGAGTCGAAAATTTAAAAAATTGGAAAATTGAAGAATCGAAAAGCTAAAATATCGACTAAAAAATCTAAAACTCTACAAACCAAAAAATCGAGAGATATCGAAATAGGCCAAAATCGAAAATTCGAAAAGTCAAAAATAAATTGATAAATGAAAAATTTAAAAGCATAAAAAACGATAAATTGGAAATGAAAAAAAGTCGATAAATCGAGGAATCGAAAAATCAAAATTTTAAAAATCGAAAACTGAAAAACCGAAAAATCCAAGACCGAGAAATCGAAAAATCGAAACCACAAAAAACTGAAAAATCTAAAATACAAAAATTCGAAAAATTAAGAAATAGAAATATTGAAGAACTGAAAGAAAAGAAAATATAGAAATATTGAAGTCTTGAACAACTAAAAGACGAGATTGGCCTACAATTTTGATTTGTTTTGCGAAAATTAGGATGCTTCGAAGAAAATTTGAAGACAGATTCATAAAGAACCAGTGCACAAGTATGTTATTTTAAAAATTTAAACACTACTTATTATGAAAAAAATTGAGGGGATGATTACAAAAATTTTAGTTAGCGTTTTACCGTCTACATGATACTCCTAATATAATTACAAAATTTGACAAAATTGATTGATTTTGAATTTCGCGAAAAACTTGATGACCGAGTTTTTATAGTCATTTTTTTTGGAATATAAAATAGTGAAAACAAAAGAATTAATTATCAATTGTAATTTCTTGGACGAAAAGTTATTATTCGTCAAAAAAACTATCATAACTACTAAAAAAAAAATTGTTTACACTACAGAGGTAGGCAGCACAAAAAACACAGTTCACACCTGAAAAAAAAAACCCAAAATCACATTTCTCTGGAATGCCGATCACTATAGAAGTCAATCAAAATCCAATTGAAGATAATTTTTATCAGAATGAAAATTTTCTTCATTCATTAATCATTACGCAACGCACTCGACACAACAAGAAAAAAACAAACAATGAAAGGTGATTCATCCGATTTAACATGAAGCATAAACCCGAGAAAACCTCGCGTTCGTTTCCTCAGACATAATCACAACGCAAAACCACGAACGCACCTCGAATCCACCTGACACGAAACCCCAATTGATATAATCTTATCAAAACAAAAGTGGGAAAAATAAGATAAGACTGATAAGACGCTGTGTCACACATCATACAATCGAAAAATGGTAACGTATTTGCCCTTTTAAACACTCTATAATGTCAGTTAACAATTGCAGAAGTTTCACATCTTCGTTCTTCTTTTTTGCTACATTTCTATTGCCAATGGAGAAGACCCTGACAGTATTTGCAACTCTTGTAGTTGTTCGACGAGCGACAACGCCCAAGTCATGAACATAAACTGCGTGAACAGGAAGTTGCAACATGTAGGGGGTTATTGGGACGTCAAAAACGAAACGAAATTTGTGAAGATCAGTTTCGCCGGGAGTGACATGCCAACCTTGGAAGCTATGCCTCAGACCCGCGCTGAAGTAGAGATTGTCTTGACTAGGTGCAACATCAGGTATCTCAGGCCGAGTTTGTTCGCAGACACTCCAAACGTAAAATTTGTGGATTTGAGCCACAACAACCTGCCAGGTTGGTTTCGTTTCAAAGATCCGAATTTCCAAATCTTTCGCTTTTTTTCTAAATTACAGCTGAAGAAATCTCCTCTGACAAGTTCAGAGGTCCCTACAACAACACCATCTACGAACCCATCGCCTTGGAACACCTCGACCTCTCCTACAACCAAATCCACACCCTACTCAAAAACGTGTTCGAGCACATGCCCAACCTAAAAATCCTCAACGTAGAAGGCAACGACTTCAAAGTTTTGGACGCCCATACGCAACTGGCTCTATCGTCGATTCGTGGCTTACAAGTAAGCAAACACTGTCCAGGTTTGACAAACCTAATCACATTTTGACAGGATCTAAACCTGGCCAACAACGAACTCACTGAAATGATAGTCGGAGCTATCGACGCACACGAGAACCTAACTCATCTCGACTTGTCCAGGAACTTGTTGGATTTCGTTCCACCTAGTTTGGCACACATTGGGAAAAGTTTGGAAGTTTTGAACGTGGACGGAAATCCACTCATCGAGTTCGCGTCGGAAACGTTTCTCGGTTTGGGGAACATCACCGAACTGTCCGCGAACAACCTAACCATGCTTACGTACATCAACGCGAACACTTTTGCAGCCATGCCGAAACTGAAGAAGCTGAGTCTTTCGGACAATTTCCTGCTGGTGGATATCGACAGGGAGGCTTTTGGTATCAACCAAACACTGGAAGAGGTAATGATTTTAGTTCACTGGTCGTTAGTTTTCAACTTTGTCCAATTAGTTCTACTTGAATAACAACGAACTCTATCGTCTCGACTACAAACTTCTCCCATGGTCACAACTCCACGTCTTCCAATTCAAAGAAAACCCCCTAGAATGTTCGTGTGATCTCTACAACATCACCACCCAACTTTCTGCTGACATAATGCGCGAGGAAGACGGACCATATTGTGAAGATCCTAGAACTGGACGTAGTATTCGTGTGTTCTACTTGAAAAGCGACATTTGTTCGTATAAAGTAGGGATTTTAAGACGGTAGTGTCACGATTTAAATTTTTGCCTTTTCAGCGAGAATTATCCTCACATATAGATTATATTCAGCATCATTTCTCTATGGTGAGGGTGGCTTTGGTTATCTTGTGTGTCACTGTCTTGATCGCTGGTATTTTGGCGGCCATCTTGGGTTTCGTGCGGTATAAGAAGTATAGAAGAGAGTCGAATTATCCATATGCTTCTCAGATTGCTTACAATCCTATAGCCACCACACCAAAGTACTGAAGAAAGGCTACATCTGAAGTGTTACCTTAATTCAATTTTTTTTTAATTTTCGTTTTTTATAAAATAAATTTTTATAAATGAAATGCACTCGATTTTTTCTTTGCAAAGGAAAATGACAAGAATTTTCTGCCTTGTCTATCTTTTTCTTTGAGAAGTATTGTATTATATGTAATCGAGTCTATCGGACGACTGGCCACTTTCATGTTTTCTCGACGTTTCATGAGCTTCAGAGTACGAAAAATATGTCTCGTGCTTCCATCTGTCCCGATTTTTATTAAATATGTGTTATTTAAATGTTAAAAAGTCACATAGTGCTGAACTTGTAGATTATGAATCCGGGTTGAATTTTCAACCTAGACATCGAGATTTTTCGAAAAAAAAAAAAAATCAAAATTGTGGATATGTATAACAACTTTTCGATTTCTCAAGTTTCCGAATTTTCGATGATTCAACTTTACTCAATTTTTCAGTTTTGGGACTTTTCGGTATTTCAGTGTTGGAATTTTTCGATGGTTCAGTTTTACGATTTTCCAATTGTTCGACTTTTCAATTTTTTGATTTTTCATTTGTGTAATTGTCGATTTCTTGACTTTCCAGGTTTTTGATGTTTCAATTTTTCGACTTTTAAACTGCCCGATTTTTTTATTCGATTTTTTGCCATCTCGATTTAAACAATTTTTCCATTTCTCCATTTTTTTAATTTTCGTCGATTTCTTGATGTTTAAGTTTTAAGATTTTTCAATTTTTTAAAATGTTGACATTTCTAGATCTGTGATTTCTCGATTGATCGATTTTTTGACGCTCCGACTTTTCCGATTTTTTGATTTTTCCATTTATGGATTTCTCAATTTTTCGATTCTTCAATTTTTCGACACTTCAATTTTTCAAATTTTATATTTTTCGATTTCTCCATTTTTCAACTTCTCAGTTAAATTTTTCGGTTTTTTATTCTTCAGTTTTTCGATTTTTCAATTTCTTGATTTTCAATTACTCGATGTTTCAGTGTTGAGATTTTTCAATTTATCAATTCCTCAAATGTTCGATTACTTGTTTTTTCATTTTCTGATGTTTGAGTTTTCCGGTTTTTCAATTTTTTGATGTTTCTTTCGACTTCGCGATTTTTGAATTTCACATCCCTAAATTTTTCAATTTTTTTGTTTCGATTACTACTTTCGATTTTTTGGTTGTTAAATTTTTCGATTTCTCAATTTTTCAAATTTTCATTTTTTTAATTCTTCAATTTTTGAATTTTTTTATTTTTCGATTTTTTGACATCTCGATTATTCGATTTCTCGATCTTCTAATGTTTCGATTTTTTTTTCGACTTTCCGATTGTCCAATTTTTCCAATCTTTCATTTTTTGCATTTTTCAATTTTTCGACTTTTAAACTTTTCGGTTTTTTGATTCGATTTCTCGACATCTCGGTTTTTTGATTGTCTACGTTTTAAGATTTTCTAATTTTAGGTTTCTTAAATTTTTTTATTTTTCAATTTTTTAAATTTTGATTTTCCAAATTTTCGATTTTTCGATTAATGGCTTTTTTGACGTTTCGATTTTTCGATTTTTTGATTTCCCCATTTATAGTATAGATCTTTGAATTGGATTGTTTGATTTTTTAGGTTTTCAATTCTTCAATTTTTCAGGTTTGTGATTCTTGAATTTTTCGACATTTCAATTTTTCAATTTTTAAAATTTTAGATTTTTTGATTTCTCGATTTCCAGTTTTTTGATGTTTCGATTTGGGATTATTAAATTTTTTTAATTTTTCGATTTTTAAACTTTTTAATTTCTCGATTTTTCGATTTTGGACTATTTCGATTTACAATTCTAATGTTTCGCTTTCTCTTTTTTCGATTTTTTGATTGTACAATTTTTCGATCTTTCAGTTTTTGGATTTTTTAATTTTTCGATTTTCTGACAACTCGGTTTTTCGATATCTCAATTAATCGATTTTTTGACGATTCGATCTTTCAATGTCTAGATTTTTGGATTTTTCGATTTTTTAGTTTTTCAATTTTTTAGGCTTGTGCTTTAAAATTTTTCCATATTTCACTTTTGGGATTTCTCAATATTTCGATTTTTTGAGTTCTTGATTTTTCAACTTCTCGGTTAGATTTTTTGTTTTTTTTTATTCTACAATTTTTCGATTTCACTTTTCTCGATTTCTCAATCATTTGATGTTTCGATTTTTCGATTGTCCAATTTTTCATACTCGATCTTTCAATTTTTCGATTCTTAAAATTTTAGATTTTTCGATTTCTTGCTTTTTGGTTTTTCGATTTAAATAATTTTTCCGTTTTTCCATTTTTTAAATTTTTATCGATTTCCTAATGTTTAAGATTTTTCATTTTGATGTTTCTAAATCTTCTCGATTGATCGATTTTTTGACGTTCCGGCTTTCCCGATTTTTTGGTCTTTCCATTTATAAATTTTTCAATGTTTAGATTTCTCGATCTTTCGATTTTTCAGTTTTTCAATTTTTCAGATTTTTGGTTTTTCACTTTCAGTTTTGGGATTTCTTAATATATATTTCGATTCTTCAATTTTTCGACATTTAAATTTCTCAAATTTTAGATTTTTCGATTTCTTCATTTTTTAACTTTTCGGTTTTTTATTCTTCAATTTTTCCACTTTTCAATTTCATGATTTTCAATTTTTCAGTGTTGAGAATTTTTAATTTTTTAATTCTTCAATTTCGATTTCTCGACTTTTCATTTTTTGTTTCGATTTTTCGGTTCTTAAATTTGAAGTTTTTCGATTTCTGGATGTTCCAGTTTTTTGATGTTTCGATTTTTCGACTTCTTGGTTTTAGATTTTCCATCTTTTTTAATTTTTCGATTTTACAAGTTTTCGAATTTTTGACATCTCGACTATTCCATTTCTCGATCTTTCAGTTTTTGCATTTGCCAATTTTTCGACTTTTAAACTTTTCCAGTTTTTGATTCGATTTCTTAACATCTCGGTTTTTTAATTTAAACAATTTTTCGACTTCGGATTTTCGATGTCAATTTTCTGATTTTAAGGTTTAAAATTTTTTAATCTCTCGTTTCTTAATTTTTTCGATTTTTCATTTTTTTTAATTTTTGACGTTTCTAAATTTTCGATTTTTTGACGATTCGACTTTCCGATCTTTTTTATTTTCCCATTTATAATAGTTTAGACCTTTCAATGTTTAGATTTCTGGATTTTTTGATTTTTTAGTTTTTCAATTCTTCAATTTTTCAGGTTTGTGATTTTTAAATTTTTCCACATTTCACTTTTGGGATTTCTCAATAATTCGATTTTTCAGTTTGTCGATATTTTAATTTTTCAATTTTTAAAATTTTAGATTTTTCGAGTTCTTGATTTTCCAACTTCTCGGTTCAATTTTCGAATTTTATTTTTTCGTTTTGAGTTTTCTCGATTTCTCAATCATTTGATGTTTCGATTTTTCGATTGTCCAATTTACCATTGTCGATACTTCAATTTTTCGACTTCTTGGCGGTAGATTTTTATTTATTTTTTTTAACTTTTCAATTTTTTTATTTTTTTATTTTTCGATATTGGGCTATTTCCATTTCCAATTTTTTGACTTCTCGAATATTCGTTTTCTCGATCTTCAAATGTTTCGATCTCTTTCTTTTTCGATTTTGCGATTGTCGAATTTTTCAGTTTTGGATTTTTCAATTTTTCTATTTTTAAACTTTTCGGTTTTTTAATTCCATTTCTTGATATTTCCGTTCTTTTTATTCGATTTCTTGACATCTCGGCTTTTCGATTTAAATAATTTTTCGACTTCGAATTTTCAATTCGTCAATTTTCTGATGTTTAAGTTTTAAGATTTTTCACTTTTTCGATTCTTAAATTTTTCGATTTCTCGATTCATTGATTTTTTGACGATTCGTCTTTTCAATTTTTTGATTTTCCCATTTATAATACAGACTTATAGTTTTTCAATTTTTTAGGCTTGTGATTTTTCAATATTTCGATTCCTTAGCTTCCCGACATTTCCATTTTTCAATTTTCAAAATTTTAGATTTTTCGTTTCCTTTTATTCTTCAATTTTTCGATTCGGTTTTTCTCAATTTCTCAATCATTTGGTGTTTCGATTTTTTGACTTCTCGATCTTCCAATATCTCGATTTAAACAATTTTCCGGCTTCGAATTTTCGATTTGTCAATTTTCTGATGTTTAAGTTCCAAGATTTTTCAATTTTTCGATCCCTAAATTTTTTGATTTTTCAATTTTTTAATATTTGACGGTTGTATATTTTCGATTTTTCGATTATACGATTTTCCGCTATTTTAACTGTTTGAATTTTTAAATTCTTGATTTTTCAGATTTTCTATTATTCCATGTTCAAAATTTCATCTGGGTTGTTCAATTTTTTTACACTTTAATTTTATCGATTTTTTGATGTTTTGATTGCTCAAACGATCGGATTTCGAGATTAAAGATAAAGATAAGAAGAAATACAAATACACAGATGGAAATATTGATAAGAAAATCCCGCCACTGGGCTAAATTAACATTTTATTTACAAATTTCCTGAACCTACTTTTCACCTCGACATAAAGTAGAGTTGGCAACAATGCACAACTTTGTCACGATCAGATAAAACTTTTCCCCGAAGCAAACATAATTCACACTTATCTACGATAACACAAATGATATGAAATCACCTATGTCTGTGTGTATTACGAATTGATATCGCATCCCAGAGCAGGTTAAAAATGGTGAGTACACTCCCTAAAATAATTCAAATAAAAAAAAAACTTTTCCAGCTGTTTTTCCACCTGTTCTTCTATTTCCTGGTAACCTCAGCAGAAGAAACCTACGAAAATTCAACTGAAATCTGTCAACGATGCTCCTGCAACGACGCCCAAATTTTCGAATTAGACTGCAGCAACGAATCGTTAACATTAATGTTAGCAAACTGGCCAACCCAGAAACCCATCAAGGCTACCTTCACAGGAAACAACTTCACCAAGCTCGAAAAACTCCCCCCCACTGAGTCTTCCGTGGAAATCGTCCTCTCAAAATGCAACATCCAGTATCTGGATCCTGCCGTTTTTGATACCGCTACTAAGACGAAATTGGTGGA